CGTTGTGTGTTTGTCATAATATTGACATTGGTGTCATGTCATTAAGGCAAACATTAAACGCTTAGCTCAACATGCGATGCCAAAGAGAATAATACGCCCACTTGGCCAATGCGAGAGCTGGAAGAGCTCTTGCCTCGACTTGGGCTCCGTATCAGGCATTATGCAACACGACACGGTTAAAATGTATCGCAGGCCAAACTCGACCCTTCTGTTGCCATATGTGTTGTGCAAAGGTGTGTTTCTGTGTGTGTTTTAGCTTCAAAAAAGAAAGCGAACCCGAAACAAAACAAGAATCCCCCGCATTCACATTCGACAGTCGCCGCTGGCGGTTGCAAGTGCCGCAAGTCGTTGATATTAATGCCGCGCGCTGCAAGCAACAACTTGATCTCCTTCGTTTATTCTAATAGCCTGATAGTCGACATATGCCAAATTATGGGCAATACAAAATGGCCAGCAGCCGCAGCAGCACCTCGAGGCGTCTTAAATCCAAAAATGCTGCACCTCTGGAAATTGAAGACGATTTTCTGTTCGATTTTGTGCAGTGCACACTGGAGCCGCTCGAGAGGTAAATTCTGGGAAATTATTTTGCAGATTGTATGTAAGAAATTTTGCCGATTATATATAAGATATATATGCAACTATATAATTGCATTGGCAAATTACCGACACTTATTGCCCTTTCACTACGTGTTGCAATTATCAATTTTAATGCGCTGCAAACGAGTTGGGGCAAAGACATTAATGTCAAGTGCTCGGAAATTTATGCACGTCTCTCGCATTAATTAACGTTGCATATTTCTAGGCGCTCCACCAGCAGCTCTCTCTCTGTCTTTCTCTCCCCGCCAGCTGCCAGTGTCACTTTTATGGCAGTTCGACTTCGTTTTTCAATTAGGCGCTGCAGTAGAAAAGGACTTCCGTTTTCTTTCCCCTCGATTGTTCCTCAGTAAACTAATATTGTTTGTCATATAGTTAGAGGAAGAGAGAGAAAGAGATAGAGAGATAGACAGAGAGAGAAAGAGAGCGTGCTAATTAAGTCACATTTTGAATATAAATAAGATAGTTTCTGCAGAGAAAATGTGTTTAATTAATAATAAATAGGAAGAAATAAATCGATTAAATCATATATAAAACAAAGGAATATAATATTTTAAAAAAATGGTTAACGTAACGGCAACTTTTTTGTTGTATTTAAAGTTTAGTTGATCGTTGGGAGTTAATAACATCTAAATCGATTAAAGAATAAATAGTCAAGTCGAAGGACCACAGCATTTGTTTAAGTTAGGTATTAGCTACATTCAAAAATATTTTGAGAGATATTATAAGAGAAGAGTTCATCATAGTATATTATAAGAGAAGAGTTCATCATGTATTACGACGATTCCTATTTCTTTCACATTCACCTACAAAATACTTTAATCACATTTCACTATTTTAAGCTTTCCCAGAATCTTCAAATGATTGGTGACAGAAATTTGAGGTTCTACCTTATAAGTTACTTTGCTTAAGAGGTAAATACTTGAGTATGTAAGTGAATAATGACATATATAATCCGAATCGAAGCAGATAGAACAAAGTCGCGTTTATTTGAGACAGCAACAATGTTTTGGGCTTTGATGTCTTAACCCCAACGACACTTTCAATTCGAAACGACATTCAAATTGTGTTCGTGTACTTCAAAGTCATCAAAGTTCAATTCAATCAATTTTCAATATGTGTGTGATAGCCAAAGAAAGCTGTTAGCCAAGTTAAGTGTTGTCTGCGTGGTCGAGACCGTGTTTCGATTGATTGTCGAGTGGTACGCCAGCATTGGCATTGATAATGAAATTCCAAACGTAGGTGTATCAATAAGTCAGCCCACATGCATAAATTATACCCTTCCAGGGCAATCAGTCATGTCATGTGTTGTGTTTGTTGTTCGAAACTGCACTAAATAATTGCAGTAAACGATGAAGGAAAAATCGAAACGAAACGAAACGAATCAAAAAACAATGAATTTGAATGGCAAGGAAACGGAAACATTTCTATGATAGTCAAATTTCCTGCATTGCCTGAGTTGGGGATGTCAGCAATCTTTTTATTACCGCCTTCGCTCCGTGACATTTGAGCATTGACTGCATCCGTTCCTGTGCCTGTCAAGCACGCACAGGCGGGCCATGATTTATAAATGCGCTCCAGCTCCGGGTTATTACTCGAACATACCACACACTCTATATGCGATTTTAATGCCTTGTGACATGTGGGGGTAGAGGTCATACTCGTTTTGTTCATGTGGGACGATTGCGATTGGATGCCAAGCAACGCGGCTAAAGGCTGTGAAAATGCCAACTAACATTTCTGCTAAGTATCTATTAAATAAACAAGGTTTAGGTCGCTAAAATAATAATTATGGCGGTCTAGAAACTTGTGGTTTTTATAGTTGGTGCTATTAAATATATTTTTTTATTTTCCATGTGATAAATGCCGACTGTTGGAACTGGATTTTTTTATTTGTGTATTATGGTGGGCTATGCAGATCTAGTTGTGATTTTTATACTTACGGCTTTTATATACTTTTTTTACTTCCCATAAGAAAAAATATATCATTTCCCCACAATTTCAATAAATACCGTACTGCAATAATTATTTATGGCTTTTGTAGACTATCTTCTAATATTTTTTATACTTTTTTTTTATTTTAATGGCATAAAGCATTCAATTCACTATAAGAAAATATTAACAATAAATATTGTAATATTAGCGATTACTGAAATTGAAAGTTTTTTTTATATTTTCTTTATTTGTATGTTGTGTTGTTATAATTTTAATTATGGCGTATTGCGTAGATAAACCTCTGATTTTTATAGTTACTACTATAATATATATATTTTTTTAAATTTTAATGGAATAAAACATTTAATTCACCCATTAGGAAATAGTAAAAAAATGGCAACTTATTATTGACTGTGAAAACTTAGCTTCTTAAACTTTATTTGATTATAAATTAAATAAATAATACCTGTTTATTAAAAATTTTAACGGTTAATTGTTAATCTTATATTTTTTATTTTATTAAATATTTTAATTTTATTTTATTTTGGATAAATCATTCAAGATTTATCTATAAGGAAATACCTTTGGCTCCCTAATATTAGCGACCGTTGAACTTGCTTTTCATTTGTCTTATATTCGTTTGCTTGTTGCTGATGTTAATCATTTTCAAACAACAATTTATCAAATTTGAAATTCATGTCAGAACAAGTATAAGCATTTATATAATTCAAATGCAAATTTCCTTTTCTCTAGAATTAAAAGTGCATTTAACTTTGGTTCCAATCGCATTAAATTTAATGGCAGCCACAAATCGTTTAACAACAAACTTTTTATTTTGCTCGCTCAGCACCAAAACCAAAAAGTGAAACCACAGTCAAAATCAGAATCAGAGAAATATCCCGTTAGTCAGGCAATGTTGTGGCCTGTGATTATTGTCAGTCATTCAGTCAGGCCATATCATTCAAGTCATTTAGCATTATTTCGCCACAAAGTTGGCCCTGTTTACTATTTCCCCGAATGGCCCATCCCCGCCTGCTGTCAGCTTAAATTTGGCTTCGTGCAGCAAGTGACACAAAAGTCGGCGGCGTGGTAAATACTCGTATTTATGTGCGCCATGTTGCAAATATGCTTATGCGGAAAAAAGGCAAACCGAATTTCGCAGATAAACCCATGATAATACATTACTAATTGCCACCCGCAGTTTCCTCGAGCACAGCAACAATAAAAGTATATAGTAAGTTTCGAAGAAATATACTTGCACACTCAACAAATCAAATGTTAAGCACAGAGCAAGCATATCATGTCTGGCTCCATTTAAAGATATATGGTATCTACTACTATATATCGCATGTATGAGCCCAATATGTTTTTCCAAATAAAAATTGTGGAGCACACATCAAATGGAGCTCTGTCAAATATGTATAACATATGATAGTTGCAAACGACTGTCTGTTGAAAAGCTTGGTAAATATATTTGACTGAGACTAAGACGACCTAGGATATAATATATATTTACCTATAAACATACCGCTCCCACACAGTTCCATTTCCCCGCTGCATGTCTAAAATTACGCTCAATTGTTGGATGTTTTTCTATTGTTCCAAAAGCACCAAAAGTGATATAAAAAAATAAAGTACAAAAATGGGGCAAAAGTTCAAGTCAACTTTTTAAATACACTATACAAATTGTTACAGAATTGCTATAATAAGAATATGAAATAGTATTCTCTTAAATATATTGTGGTTTCTCCAATTTTTAATATTTTTAACTTAGGTTAGAAAAATTAAAAAACTTTTTTTATCTTCTGTTACTACTATTTTAAAATATATTTAACTTTTTCTTTTTTTTTTTTGTGACCTCTTTTAATAAAATAATAAAGTCCCTATGTGATTCGAAATTTAATGGAGTAAAAAATACATATTTTAATATATTTAAGTTAGTTTAGATAAACTCGAAAGTATCTTTCAAATTCTGACATTAAAATTTGTCTGTATTTAAATTAGTTTAAATAAAGTCTTTGGTTAGGGTATTCCCCCGTCTACAGACAGAAATACTTGGACAAATTTGCACATTTAGATGGTGGCACGGAGTGGGTGTTCTTCTTGTCCTTGTGTGCTCGTCGCTTTCGGGTGTTTGGCAACCAAAAACAAAATAGCAAAAAGCAAAGGCAAAAGCCATAAGCCATCAGGCAGTAAAGTCAGTAAAGGCAAGGAACTAGAAGCTCTATAGAAACCAAATATGTGGCCGACCTCATTCGTTACCAACAGTTACAAGCGCGAAAGCGCCATTCGCGGTGTGTTCGTGACCCTTGTGGAAAAAAAGCTAAATAAAATGAATTAAATATTTTATGGATATTAACTATAAGCCAACAACGCAAAGTAATTAAAAAGGCAACCAAATGCGACTAAATTATTGTGTCACATTTTGGGCGCACTGATTAACCGGAGTGTTTTATTAACTTGGCCCACAGCTTCAATTTGCCGCGCATCAGCGCCCGCCTGGAGCGATTGATGGGCACCAATGTGGTCAAGCTAACGGACCGCGCTTACATGAAGGAACTGCGCGAACGCATCGACGAGGATTACCGCAAGCAGCTGCTCGCCCGTATTCGGGCCCGTGAGGTAAGTGTTCAAAAAGATGGCTTAGTCACATAAAAAAAAAAAAAACGGATGGACCACAAACAAATGTGGCCAATTTGTAAGTCGTCTAATTGAATTTTACGAGAACTTCTCGAAAATTGTCACGTAGGCGTCAGTTTTTTTTTTTGTGGTTGCGATTACTTTTGAAAAAGGTTTTCGTATACAATTCTCATCAACTGACAAATGAAAAAAATGAACAGAAAGTAAGAGAATAATCTGCTCGAGTGACGAACAAGTAGATACCCTGTATATACATTCATTTGTGCACCCATTCTAAAACTCGAAAATTACACTGAAAACTAGAAAGTTTTCTGGATTTTACAATATTTTTCTAAACATAAGAAAAAAAATTTCTAGAAAAGCTTGCCCTAAATTGACACTATCAAAAACATGATGATCTTTTCCCATTATTAGAATTATTTTCTTTTATTAAGAAATGCAATTCTAAAATGTTGAAATGTAATCCTTATTTTTAGGATAATTTCTTTCTAAAATTCGGAAACAAATAATGAAATTTACTGGCTAGGCTATTATATTAGAGCTTACCTGTTGTCCGCTTAAGAAATCGAGTATCTCAGTGGGAGTCAATCAACTCGTAGACCAAGATTAAATCGCCGTAAAATCTTAATTAATTTTCAAATAAATTAATTGACTTTTATAAGCTATATACAATTTTTGTATTGAAATTTTACTGTAGTTAAATCTTAAAATATAAACATTTAACCACAAATGAAAGCAATAAAAAAGGTAACACAAGAATTCTTCTTTGTACCCTGTTTTTTTTTACTTTTACTTTGTGAATAATAAGTTGAGGAAACCCTTGGTGCCGAAAGTCAACCCAATTTATAAAATTCAGTCAGATTTATTTCTGAGTGCAGATTCTATGAGATATTAGACAGAAATAATCTAGACAAAATCGAAAATATATATATATATGTAAGGTCGTCGACTGGTACATATATTTATACAACTTTATTATTCACTTTCTCTTTATGCATATTTTAAATGAGTGCAGGGGAAACCAAAACAAAATGAACACCAAGCAAGATACGAAGGAATTGGCAGGAAAACTTTTCAATAACAAAAGTCGCGCCTACTGTGAATTTTCTGGTTCTCCTTCGTCATCAACTTAGTCTAGTTTTTCTTATTTCTTCTTCTTCTGGTTGTTGTTTCTGCAGTGGCAAACAATTGAATTCAATGAGCTCTCGACATGAACAAATGGCAAATCCAAGCCGTCAAAATCATAAAAAATTAGACCATCGCGATAGGCACCAACGACTTGGCTTTATGTCACTGAGACATGCGAACAATATCAGCAAAAACAATAAAAGCAACAACTACAAATAGGTGTTGCCAACTGCAGTTCAAAAAGTGCTCCAAAAACCGGAAATGGCCACTTAGATTTTTGTCTATCTGTAGGCGTTGATATTGGATAACTATTTTTGTTTTTTGCGCAGTGCAGGCACATTTTTAGTAGGTGTCAAATAGAAAGTTTGGACGTATTTAAGATAACAGTGAAAGTGTAATAATTTGAATGCAAAATTGCAATATGCATATAATTGATGTCTTTTCTATAGTTAAAAGAGGTGGAGCGTGAGCGCATCTTGATTATTGAGGGCAAGTCGGATATAATACCCGATGAACTGGCTGACGATCCCATTTTTATGGTTAACAAGGATGCCAACACAGAGATACAAAAGGAGCGCTCCAAGGTACTATCTACTATCTATCTGGAGCAAGCTTGTGCCGAGCATAAAATAAATCAACACATTTACGCTTTTTATTAGCTGAAAACTAGCCGCGAAAAGAATGCAGAACGACTAAAGGTGCAGGGCGTGAAGTGGGAGAGGGAACGACTGCAGCATGCCGCCAAAGAGGCCGAGATGCTGGCCAAGAAGCACGAGCGCCATCGCCAACAGAAACTGCTTGTCGAACAGTACCGAGTCGAGGATGCGGAACGGGGCATGGACCTGCTGCGGTAAGTGAATAAAGCAACCCAATTCAAACCCAGTCAAATGAGATCTAATTAAAATTTATTAAAAAAAGCAAATATGAAAATAGTAAAAGCATCCTAAGGATACATTCTGTGGCCCTTAAAGCGCTTAATCCTTTAAAGAAAAATTCTTATAGTTTGAGTAACAAAAAAGTACTGATTAAATGCCCTACAAGGCATATTCATTTATAAGACTGCTATATTACAAAGCATTACAAGTTCAACACAAATCATATAGAGTAGACAGCTATAAAAATATTAACAGAAATGCAATTTAAAGTATTCGTTTTTGTAATCAAACTATGATTTCAATAATTACATGCTACTGTGTCTTAAATATTTTATAGCTTTGGTAGAGATATAATTAAAAGCAAATATAAATGTTGTTTAATGTTTTAATATCATATTCCGAGCCCATTTAAAATATTAATCTTTGTAAACAAAGAATGACTTAAAAGTTCACTACTCAAATCGAAATCCCTTTCAAAATACCGCCTACAGCATCGACAACGAGGATTGGCGCGAATGCGAACAGAATCTGAAGGAGTTCCTCGAGAATGAACGCTCGAAAATGAAGGAGCGTTCTCTGCGTGTGCCCATGCCATTCTCCTCCGATCCGCAGGATATACAGAACATAGTGCGGGCTCGGTAAGAGGACTTCATTTTTACTTAATATAAACCCATTTTAAATTCTCTTCTTCTTGTTAAGCCAAAAGTTCCGTGAAACGGAGCTACGCATACGTCACCAGCTAGAGGATGACAAGAAGGATGTGACTGCTCTGGTTGCCACAACCGATCTGCCATCCTTCGCCATGGATGAGACAGTGGGTGACACCATTGAACTGCAGCGCGAGGTGTCCCAAGAAGACTATCCGGGCGCCATACAAAGCAAATACATGGACGATGCCTCCGATATATCCGAGGAGTCTGTGAAGAGCGCTAGCCTAATCAGTCTCACTGTGGCCAAGGAGCAATATGCCGAAGTGCTCCAGGCCGAGATGGAGGACGAGTTTAATCGGGGACTGCTCATCTCCAAGCAGCAATACGATCAACTACGCTGCGAGGATGAGAAAATTGTCGCCCTGCGCAATGCCAAAGTAAGTCTCGAAAGTTTCTAATCAAATTATATACAATATTTGTTAAAAATATATAATATATGGTTTATTTCTCATCCAGAACATAATCGAGCTTTATGAGTTGGCGGAGCAGATAATCATGGGTGATCCGGTTGAGGAAGAGCCAAAGGAGGAGGAAAAGGAATCTGAACCGATTGAATACCACTCCGAGCCAGAGGAAGATTGAATAAAAAGCAGTTCGATTATTGTTCGTTGAATTTCGATCGATGGCCATCATCTTTTCCAACGATACAAAATTATTTCCGAAAAATCGATAAACATTTTCTAAGCGTAACATTTGCACAAATTGCGTACAATTTCGAAATTATAGTTAATACAAAAGCTAATATCGATAACGGGACTGTCGCCGTCAAAAAATCAAAACGATTACCTGTCAGTGAGTGTCAATGCATCAAGTTTAATTAAACCTGTAACGAGTTCAAGCTAATAAAACCCACATGCAAACACACACTCATCAAACTCCCATTACGTGGGAGTTTTGCAGTTTGCACAGGGGACGTCGTTAAGTAGACCACAAATATTTGCATTCCCATGCGCCATATGCGATAAGATCATTAGAGCAGCCACGGTTTTTTTTTTCTGAGTGTAGGGTGAATTTGATTTGTGGAATCAGACAGGTAACTAATCACCGTGTAATTAGCCGGGTTAATTTATTTATCTATTGCACGCCGGAAGTTTGGGGGCGCCCACTTGTGTAAATGACGACAATATATGTACATGAATCGCCCACAAGGTTTTGCTTGGGCGTTGAATACGAATCTGACCAACATATATATTTTTTAACTGCTTGAAAAACTACTGCAATCCGCAATTGAACGGTGCTCGAAAAGCGAAAAGTTAAAAATAGTCATATCTATTTGCTTTTGTCTAAAAATACGAATAAGATGTCGCCAGGACACGCCCCTTTCCCATTGCAACCCCACCAAGTCCAGGGGCAACACCTTAAACTTGAACTTTTGAATGTGTCTGTTATTGGTTTCCTTTAGAACACGATTGGGTATTGCTTGCCCCAGGCAACACGCTGGCCACTCTGCCAACCTTATTTGTTGTATTCCAGCCCCTAATCCCGCGCCATTGGATACCCTTCCTCTATACACTCAGAATATAAATCGTATTGAATTTCAGAAAATCGACTTAAATTAAATTAGAAAGTTTTTCTTGTTTTAAAAAATAATTTTTAAGTATACGAACATTTTGTAAAAATTATAAAGGTTTGGCCTTAATCCGATAAATATGGTGTTTGTTTATTTTTCTTATAAATATTTTCTATTATTAAGAAATAAATTTCTAAAATATAAAAATGCAACCGATTTTTTTTAGAAAAAATCATTTCTAAAATTCAGAAACAAGCAATGACATTTCATGACTCGGCTTCCTGTACAATAGGCCGAGTTACCAAAAGTCTGGCCAATTTCTAAAATTTAGAGCGACTTTTTTTTGAGTGTAGAGTCAAGAGACATGCAAATGATGTGCTTACTCACGCATTGCCTTCCACTTATTGACTTTAAAGTGTGGCTTGTGGCCACCAGCGGTGCTTCCCTGCTGCGCTGCAGATTATCTCTCAGAGGGACACTTCGTCCCCCGACCGCCCTTCTCCCATTTCAGTGTCTATCGTAGATTTGCATGGGCGTAATAAAACTTTACACACACAGACAGACTCTGTTTATTATTATGAGCATGGCAAACGATATTTTCCATCATTTTAGTGCCAATTTCTTATTGATAAGCATATGTAAAGTAGAGTATGTGTTTATTGAGGCTTGACTGGCTGGTTAAAGATAGCAGTTGAATTCTCGTTCATTTCCATTTCCAGTTTGGCATAGTCTGTTTTCGGTCTTGATTTGGAATCTAAAATAAAACTACATTAAAATCTAGAAAAATAACTTTTAGTTCGAATTCAAGCACAAAAATACTTTGTAATAATAGTTTATGTTTCGTGTTAAAATTTATTAACTGTATTATTATAATTTACCTTTCTAACTGCTGACAAAATTGTAATACCCCACGGAAGTGTATAAAAAATAGATATGATACTAACTGAAGCTAATTGCTGTGATTAATACGGCTGACAATGCTTGATATATGAGCGTAATGAAATATTATTTAGGACGACAGCTTTGTGATAAAACGAAACAAATAAATGTAAATCTGCGTTGAAATAAAGTTATGCATTGTACGATTGGCAAAAACAATAGACAGAGATAATTTTAAATGCAAAAAATCGCGTTCGCATTGCAAGGATTTCCGCGTCGTCATTTCTGCTGAGACAGTGGGACAACGACACCCACGCCTTAATATTCTAGGAAGTAAATAAAGCGTCAGCGCCTGAATATATATGCATAAAAGTATTGTTAACAATTACAGAACGAAAAACCATCCACATTCCACATCCCACTCACAATTGCGAGTCGTGCTGACTTGTTGCCTACTTAGTGGAGCTCAGTTATCTTGCGGCGTAAATAATGACGGCCACTTTTTATTGTGTCGCCTCCACGCTCCTGTCCAACTTCTGTACGATTTGCCTACCATTTTTCATAAGACAATATCGGACAGCGAAACTTACGCAAATGTGACGAAATTTTTCATTGATAAACACGACGAGAAAAAAAATAAAAAATAAATAAATAAATAAAACCCTCGGTTTGCTCATATGTCGCCCGAAACCGTAAAAGCTCGGGCAGCTTTACACACATTTTGGCGCGTCAGCTTCGTAAGTGTGCCGATTGGGTTCGTATGGACAATCGGGTCTGCACGTCCTTATAAAAGAAGTCGGCGCCCCTAGTCGGTCACGCAGTGTTCAACAAGTAGTAGGAGCAACAGTTGCCAGTCGACCATCCGCTGAATACGGATTCAGAACTGCATCGGAAAGTGAGTTCTTTCGCCTTCAGTTCAAAAAATAAAATAAAATTAAATAAATAAATGCAAAAATTAAAATAACTAATAATTAACTAAAAATGGTTCAAAAGGACTTTTTTTATGTTGAATTGAACAGTTAATAGACGCGGAAATCTTACAAATGCCGTCGCCATCATCAGAGACAATGCGTGCTTAGATAGTTCATTATATATATCTAATAGTGTTTTGGTGTGTGTGCAAATGCTGGCTGGACCTTAAGCAGCTATTAATAGAGAATAACTTCTCTAGCTGTGTAATTATATTTAAAAAAATCCAAATTCCTGAAAAGCACATTGATTCACATACTAAATTTAATTGTGTAACATTAATAACATTAATTGGCTTTAAAAAAAGTTTTGAAAATTAACATTTATGGATTTTTTAGTAAAATATATAATATAATTAAGCATATTTCGGAAATTAGTTTATTTTTCATAAATAAAAATGTTTAAGAAGTGGAAAACTTTAAAGACTAAAAGCACTTAATTTAATAACGAAATCGTGATTAATAAATCATAGACTGATCAATTTTTTTTTTAACAAATTACTTTTTCGTAAAAGAGGTAGACAAAAGTGAAAACTAACTTTACTTCCTGCCAAAAATAAGCATAAATCTAGCAAATATATGCAAATCAATCATCCATAGAAAGGAAAATGGAATTGTAAATTGGAAAACAAAGCAAAAGTTAAACTCAAGCAAAAAAAAAACCATATGTTTTATAAAATATGCAAGCCGCAAGTTAAACGAGAATCAATCAATGTTTTCATGCTTAATATGCATATATATAATATACATATATTGTAGCTAATTTGCAAAATATATACATGTATCAATTTACAATTTGTCTATCATCTAAGTTGAGGGTGAATTAATTTAATATCCAGGAAAGTTTAAAAAGAATCTTTAAGGGTGTTAGACTTAACGTTACAAATTTAATGTAGAGTTACATATGTGTGCAGCTTAGTTGAAATTTCTTAAATACATTTCCAAATATCTTGACAGACTGCTGGCCAGCTGCTGTCCCACCATAAATACCACGCAAGCAAACTCTTTGTGCAATGTAACAAAAAAAAAATACCTATTGTCAAATGCTTTTGTTACAACCTGTGAAAGTCAGCAGAAGAAACGGAAGAAAGAGTGGGGAATACTGTAGAAAAATCTCAGGGACAATCAATGCAATACGCCGGCTATTCAACTAAAAGTCAGGAAAGGAAAATATTCCGAATGTCGAAGATTTAATACCCTTCTTCTTAGCTCAGGTATAAATGCACTATATTATTGCCGTCGGCTCTAAATCAAATGTATTCGAGCATTTATTTAAAGCCGAAAAAGTAGGGCAAATGTTCATCAAAATTAAGCTAAAATCACTGCTGTCGAAAAATATGAAAAAATATTCAATTATAAAAACATAAGAAGACGAAGAGTACACAAAATAAAAGAAGTGTGTGTTTGTGTGTGTATGTGTTATGGGTGTGGATGCCAGGTTGTATCCTTGTAGCTGTAGGTGTATATGTTATTCCACATGGTCATCGAACAGGGATCAAATTTCATGCCGCAAGCATAGACATTCACATCGACCCACACACTCATGCATGATCGGTGTCTGAGTGCTTTTTTGTTTGTGAAAACTGAAAGCAGCGCTACATATCAAATTATTGAGTCCTTGTGTCAAGTACTTGCCAAGTAGACTGCCAAAAGGGAAAACATATTTGGCTTATTTGGTTTATCAATATGGCAGGAGTGAATTTATCAGAGCAAAACAACATTTGATACGAACACTTAAGGTGCTACGCGACCTTTTCAAGCTTAAGGCCAATAATACAGCATTTGACCTATAAGCTAATTATATATAAATAGAGCCTACATATAAAGTAATCATAGCCTTTTGCAACTATTCTTTTTGAATAGCTGATATGCTTCAGTCAAATATTATTATGAAATAACTCAATAGCTTTATTACAATTTTAGTCTTCATATGACTTTCATTAGTATTCTTTCTCAAGACTTGCTCTGCTTCACTTTAATGCTAAATGTATTTTCTGGAATTTATTCGCATACACAAAAAAATGATATATGCTTATAACATTTTAAAAATCACTCAATCGCTGCACTTTCCCTTACAATAATAATGAACCTTTATGTTAAAAGGCTTCCTTTTCCCATGCTCGTAAATATATGAATAGACCAACAGCCAAAAGCTTTCATATAAACTGATTATAGCCTTACGCCATGATTCTTTCTCTTTTCTGGAATTTATTCGCATACACAAAAATATGATACATACTTATAGAATTTTAAAAATCACTCAATAGCTGCACTTACCTTCAGGATCTTAAATAACAATGAACGTTGATGCTAAAGGGCTTCTTATTTCCATGCCTTTAAATCTATCAACAGTCCCAAATTGCTTTGATTTGCCGTTTGAGAAATGGCAAAATGGCGACAGCTGCTCTTCAATCTCATAAGTGCCCAAGTTGTATAAAAATAAAGTATTGAACTTCTGAACTTTTGGCAATAGAAGAAACATAATTCGTTTGCCTAATTGGCTGACAGCAACATGTGCATTTAGTTTGGCCAAGAAAGAAAAAAAATATGCCCAAAAGAGAACCCCATTCAAATAGGGTGCGTTGCGCTAATTAAACAAGTTCAATTTTTTTCATTTAAGCAATTAACTGTCCGTTTATTGCGAAATAGGTGAGCTGGAAGACAAGGTGACAGGGACAAATGCGCTCAGCCAACACACTTCCCCATTCCGCACTTTTGTGGTACATTTTATTTTACCCTCGGGAACGCAGCTATCAACAAGCGCAGCAGGAAAAAAAAACAATAACAACAATTAGGCCAAGTTTTTTCCTTCATTCCTTATTTTTTTTTTGGGTCTCGTACGACTTTGTGTGTATCAACAAGTTAATTAAAACAGTTTAACAACGATTCGTGTTTGTCTTCTAGTTACAGTGCCTATTTAACCCTCCCTCCCTCTCTTAATGTCTGCAGAAACGTCAGCTGTATAATTGCACAAAAGTAACACAAAATATATTCCAAAAGCTGCCTTAAAAAAATGGAATAATTGATAATATTATAGTTCAATTTGTTATTTCATGAGTGTTTTCTTATATGTCTGTATATATTTTCTTATTACTTCTCCTATTTCATACTCCATACCCATAAAATGGCCAAATCAGGTTTTATCCAGTTGTGGTTCAATTTGCTTATTTCTGATCAACTGACAAGTTTAACTTGCAACCACGCAAAGTCAAAAAGCTAACTGTAAATTTGCCCATAATAAATATTGATATAAAAAAAAATTAATTATCATTATTAAATGCAATTATAAATTAACATCTGGTGCATACACAATACTTATTGTCTTTCGCCATTTTAGCTTTTAACAGAATTTATATGCAAATGCTAATTCCCAACGCCTTTCCTCGATGACAACAGAAATAAAATAAAGAAAATATATAATTTGAAATATTTTCTTCACATCCAGAGTTAGACAATAATTTGACAAAATTATTATGTCACATTTAGCCAAAGAAATTTTCCCTGCAGTCCAATCAAAGCGTGCAGCGAACAAAAAAATCTGCTTCAACGTTATTTTAGTTGTTTCGAGACAATTTTAATGAGTTGCCTTGTTGAAAATTTTCTTTTTGGCTTGGCAAATTTGTGGGGCGTGTTTTTTTGTGGTTCATTTGTTGTAGGCGCTGTCGTTGACTCATGGTTCGTTTGGTAATTCCTCAATTGGTTTCACTTCTATATTAAGAATATTAAAGCAAGTCTGTAAAGTTTGTTTGAATTTTCTTTAAGAAAGATTACAAAAAAATCTAAAATAAAATAAGAATTAAGAAGAATCAAGTAAAAAATCTGTAAATATAACATTTTCCAAAGAAGATGAAAATTTAACTAATTTAACTAAAATTGAAATGGTTTTTAGAAAATTCTTAAAATTTCGAAAAATAAGTACATTGGATTATATTTAAAAATACATTTAATGATAATAATAATAATATACCTTTGTCAAAATTCTAGATGTGAGTCAAGATAATTATAAAATTTTGATTGTCAGAATCGGTAAATTGCTTATGCAGAATAGACAAGGTCACAAAAAACAAATTATGTATTTTGATGTGGTGCTCGTTTATTGTTTGTTATTGTCTGCCTTGAGAAATTAAACCGAGCAAACCAGACCCCAAGTGCCAAAAGTTTGAAGCCATCTCATCTATATTGTTCACCAGTGAAAAGTTCTATCCGAACGGAAAGAATAAGCTGAATGAGATGTGGCCAGGCTAATGGGTGCCTTGACATGCACATCGTCGGGGAGGGGCGAGGCGGGGCGCGGAGAAGGTGGTGGCTTAAGATGATGCTAAAGTTGTGCGTAGCAAAGGAGTTAAGCCGTGCTAGTGCCACGCCCACACCTAATTAAATGAAACGATGCGAACGGCAGCCTTAAAATAAAAACAAGCTGTACTACATAAACAACAAGAATAACAGCAATATATCTTTTCAGAACGTCGCACATTAAATACCCTTGCCAAATGGACTGAATTTGTAGTTTGCCTTATTACAAAGTAGATCCAACTTTATGCCTCATAAAAAAAATATTTGTTTTTTGTTAATGCATTTTAATAACTAAAATATGTTTTTTAAATAGCTTTAAAATCTGAAACAGTTGTATACGATTGCTGATCAAGTAAATCTACTTTCTGATGATTGATTAATTAATTCACTGCGTTACATTATTCTTGTTAATATTAGAATACCCCCAAACCAATGATTTAAAACCAACCACAAAGCAAGCAGTGAAAGTTGTCCAAGAAAACACGCTTGTTGATTTAAAACGCCGTTGGGTGTGTGTGTGTGTGTGTGTGTGCGTGAGTGTGTTTGTGTATGAGTGTGTGAGTGTGTGTGTATGTGTGTGTGCGTGTGTGTGTGATTGTTGTTTGCTTAAGCTTGAAAAAGTGCGAACGCCCACACGCAGGAAAGGAGGTTTATCAAAGCGGCAGTGATGGTAATTACCCTCAAACAAATTTCCATTTTTGTGCTTTGCAGATAGAAAGCGACCCGACGCGAAAGGACGCCAAGGAGCTCGCTAATCCCGAGGACAACAGTCAAGTCACACACACATAAGAGCGAACATGAAGCCAGACATATTAACGCTATGCATGCTGGCCATGATGATCTTGGCCAGTACGCGTCACGCTATTGGCTTTTTGACATCCCAGACGTCAACGGGGGTTTCACCAAATGATGGCCATGGAATCGCTTCAGCTGCGGAAAAGCAACGTTTACGTGGAGTAGGAGGAGTGTTTGTAGGCGGTGTTGATGACGAAGGCACAGTGACTCAACTGCGAAGACACTTGGATGCGCAGCAACGTAACGTTTACGATCCTGGCGATGGTGAGTCCTCTGATTAAATGACAGCGGCACTGCCTTTTGTTCTTGCTTGGCCAAGGATTACCGCCTGACATTTGAGCTTTGAGCTGATGATGCGCTGTGTAGGCTTTGTTCTTGTTATCCCTTTGCCTGCCTGTGCACAAAGTGGCCTTACCACATGGGCAAAAAACGGGAGACTAAGCGAAATGAAGATTCATTTCATATTGAGGGCACTAACTTGCAAATTGCAAGAAATTCTTTCTTATTTTAAAATTGACTGGTTACCTTGTCAGAGCAAAATCAATTGGCATTCGATAGAGAACTACTATTTTCGTGAATATTTCACTTTAATGTTAATTCTGCACCCAAAATTGACACCTATTAATTATGCGAATTTAGTTAATTTTTTTTATAGACATTTTTTCATATTATTTTAATTAGATTGTTTGTGATTTTTAGTCAGGCAAAGACATCAGAAATTTATTCATTTATGAGAAGAATATATTTGCGTAATCTGCCTTTATGAATTCAACTTTTTGATGAAGTCTTCTAACCACGTTTGGATGCACACTCAACATGTCCCACTCTTCCTTCACCCTTTATGGTAGCCTGCTTTTAGGCGCCCACTCGCAGCAATTGATTTCAATGGTCGCTGGGCATTTCCGGCCACTGCACAATTTTTGAAGTGCGTTTATCTATGGCCACACTTCAGACACATACACACACACACACACACCCGTGTTCATACACACAAAGGCACAAAGCACTCAAAAAACGCTTACCGAAATTTAAACAATATTTGACGCATTTGATATTTTGATATTTTGTTAATACGACCATATAACCAGTGAGCACACACACACTCGCACACTCACACAGTCGCACACACACACTAATATGGATATGCATAAGGAGTTTGGTTATAAAATTAAAATTTCAATCAAATTTATTGCGGTTTATTGGTCATAAATATGTAATCAAATTAGGTTTTCAATTGATTTGAGTTTCATGTGACGCTTTTGTTTGCAGTCGGAATATTTTACTTTAGTTAATCGATCGATTTTTTAACATGGTTATTTCTAATGTAATATTATTGCTTCAAATCCTAGCATTATATATCTGTGCTCACTTATTATCCACAGTAGATGATCAATGCAATAATCGATTTTTGTTGTTATTTATTCTTATCACGTATTTTTTTCAAGTGGAATAAGTTAAAGATCAGTTAAGGATTTGCTTAAAGTAAAGCACAAATAAAATGCAATTGAAAATATTAAAAAAAAATAAAAATTTAGGCGCTGATCCGCTTTGGCTTAAAAAAAATCAGCTTTATTGCTGAAGGCGGTAGGGCGTGGCTCTTAAGTTATAGATGCTGGTGGGAAGCTGCCAAATGAGACAAAAGGCAAGTCTCATGATAAAAGAGGCAAACGTCAAACACAATGAATGACGAATTGAATTGAATGACTGACTGAGCAGCGCTCAACTGAGCTGAGTTGAGCTGAAATGACGGCTGTCTGAGCTGCTTGTTATGGTGGTTATCGCCGCCGGTCAATTTCCGGCACTTCAGAGAAAATACTTGTACAACAATATACTACATATTTAAATATGTATGAGCTTTGTTCAGTGGCACTGAGCAACAAGCAGCAACAAGCAGTGAGAACTGCGCTAAGATGTCAAACAAACAATTCAAACTTTCAAATGCCTGTTAGCGGAAACTTGACGCCCCTTTTGAGCTACCACAGAGGGAGAGTGGGCGGGGTGCGTTTGTGGCCGGATTAGCGTCAAAGTTGTGCAAATATTCAAACACAAAATACAAGTTGTTTGTTGTTGACAGATCTTCTGCATGCTCTGAATGCGGAGTTGGGCCAGGAGCTGGCCCTGTCGCGGGAGGAGCCAGACTATGCGAATGACGTCTACAATGGGCTCGAGGTGGCCAACAAGTTTGATATGCTCAAAAGGCTCGAGGATGATTTGCGCGCCGAGCAGGAATTAGTCGACAAGTCTGCTATGCTCATGAAAATGCTCGAGGTAAGTCGAGGGGAACACACCGAGAAAAACAGTATCAATCCACAGAGTCTAGTTATGGTTTCAATTATGTTATTTTAGGACCGAAATGCCGAAAGTAGAAACAAAAATATGACTTATACACTCAGAAAAAAATTGTACTGAATTTTAGAAAATCGCGCTGGAAACGGAATGTGTTTCTTGTTTTTAGGAATTAGTTCTAAATAAAGGCAATATATTTCTAAAAGAGCTTTTCATATCGACAATTCCAAAAATATGATTTTTTTTTTGAAATATTTTATATTCTTAGAAAATGTATTTCTAAAAAATTCAAATTCAAACAGTAGTTTTTAAAATTCAGAAACATTTAAACATTTCAGAAACATTTTACTGGTTCGGCATTTATATTAGAGTTTAGATATTGTTTGCCTTAGGCCGAGTATCTCAAATTATACGAATTTATCTATCTAAAATATTTGTACATGTGAAATATTAAAATATTAATTTTTATGAATTTAGAGTTGCTTGTAACATTTAAAAAATATCTTGAAAATTAGACATGTTTATTACAATTTTTAGAAAATATATCTTGAAACTAAGACAAGTAAAAAAATGTTCGCTAAATGTATCGCGAATTTCTAACATTTAATGCGTTTTTTTCTTAGTGTACTTATGTCGAAACATTTAAGAATGAATTTGAAATTTTAATCCTACAGGACCCATCGTTGGATACGCTGCCGCTTGTCTATGTGGAGGAGGAAGATCCGGCAGGCGCAGCTGCTGCTGAGGACTATCCGGACTTGGAGAGTGGCATACAAAGTCTGATACTTGGCCCAAATAAGTCAAAGCGGTCGCGTTACTATCGTCGCTATCCCTGGAAACGTCATAACCGAAACCGCGGGTAAGCATTTGTAGCCCTGACATCTCCCACACACACACCCACACACACCCACACACACACACGCACACTCGAGAGCACATTTGTATTCAGACACACAGCAACCCGTCCAAAAACTATAACAGTTTTGATTTGTAGTTGTAGTGTTAGTTGATAAACTTATTTCAGTTGGAAAATTCAACAACAAAAATACTTGTGGTATGTTCCTGAAATCGCAATCGCATCAATTTCGAATTTGACGAATATCTTATAGCACACAAAATGGGAATTCTTGTGAAACTGAAAGTATCATAAATCGGTTAAATGGAGTTTCTTATGGATGCCTAGCAATTTCAGGAACAAACCCAAAATCACTATACAAATACATATATGCGGTTTGTTTCTGAAATTGATTTCACTCGTTTTTAGATCTAACATTACTACTACGATAATATTCTAAAGATTCACTAGATTCGATTTCAGGAACAAACTCAATGTTGTATATTGAAAATTAAAACCAAAAAACTATACTAAACTGCATTTCCAAGAGTCTCTCTAGGCCGTACACAGAACCCTGAAAACCGATACCGAATACCGCTAGCGAATACGAATCTATCTATCCAATAATTAATGCTTCGCCCCATATATATAAATATATATTTGATAAGTGGGCGTGACTTGTGAATTCTAATTCTAATTGCAAAATATCACTGTTATCAGTTCTTACGTGAATTCTATCAACAGCAAATATGAACCGGAACTGCGCTACGCCTGCACACCCAGCAAGGAGGATATATTCAAGCTTCTGGTCAATCTGCACGAGAATCGAAAGGGCAATCACAGCAAGACGGTCAACTTTTGCAATCGCAAGCGACCCGCCAAGGCTGTTTTTACCAATATACGATTCCTGGGCTAGATCTGGATAGTTATTGCAAGCACACAGATATGGACAACACACACGCAAACACACACACACACTAACAATGACAAGGACATAAACGCACACACACACACATATGTATACCAAGCATCAATTGTAAATTGCTGACAAAAAGCCAAGCGAGAAGCGAGAAACTGGAAAATAACAAGCACTAACAATAAGCCTAACTTAACTAACTAAACTCATGCACTTATTTTAGATACTTCCCTTAAATCTACCACCCATCCACTCCCCCCATCCTTTTCCTCCCCCGCTGCCCCAGCATATCTTCGAGCACCGAGTTCTGCAGTAATTCGCATTTTCCTAACTAAGCTAGCCAATTTACCAGCAACTATTTGCCCAACTCCAGTGTTGGACAATTACAACAAATTTTATGTCTCTTAATGTGTTGTATATACATACTAATCGTATTGAAAAGTTTTAGTAGCTTATGCAATTATCAAGTTAATCCACATTCCAGTAGCTGTTTCAGACATGTCATATCATTAGAACGCGTCAATCGGTGTCGGTAGTTGAGTATTATAATGAATATATATTTCTAAAAATATATACATAATCTAACCTAGAAATTGGGCCAATGCGTTGCCTGAGTTGAGCCTAATTTTAAATGAATATGAAATATGTATGTATGGATTCAAAATTAATGTGTATATATGTACATGTATACTTAACAAATAATTCTTAATATTATGTGCTATCTGTGTATGAAGAATCAGGAGATATAATTGCCAATAAACATATGAAATATATAACTATATATTATGCTTGCGCGCAATGATATTTGTAATTATTCTATTTTATTCATGCTTTCACTGATTGGGTTTACTTTTTGAGTTATTTGGGTATGAATTACAACAAAATTGTGTATTGGGAAGTATCAAACGTCAAGTTTAAATAAATCTGACATCAATGGTTTTAAGATACTCCAGTAAAATCATTTCTAATATAATTTTCATAGAAAAAGAACTCATCTATCGAATATGGCTGATGAAAAAACTGCTTTAAAACATCACTTAAATTTAGTCTTAAGCCAAACATCTTCAGACCGTACATTAAATAATAAAATTCATTTTTTTTTTTCAAATACAGCAATGAATGGACAAAAATATTTTCTTTTCATATTTATTTGGCATAAATATATGTTTATTGTTTATCTATGATCTCTCTCTCTCTCTTTCTCTTGAGTTGACTTTGCTGACGTCATAGGCGATGTGTACGAAAAATAGGTTTTTCTGCTGTCTCACCACTGGATCGAAGTCTAGCTTCATTGTTGTTTTTGTTGTTGATGTTGTTATTGTTGTTGCCATTGTTGCGCCTGCCATTTCCGATGTTGTCAGGCACAGCAGCTCTTCAAATAGATACCCTCAATGCCAAAGGTGTCGTCTGGAAGTATTGACGGTGAAGCCCACCAAAGCTTAAGTAAACAGTATCAAGAACTGGCCAGTCAGGAAACGGAGGGGTGGAGTGGCTTCAATGTCAGAGCGGTATTCTCGCACTTGAAGGTGTTGTGTTGTGGGCGGAGGGGGAGGCAGTGGAGAGGGCACACAATAGTCGCATTTATAACATGTTGTAAACAATGCGTCGCATTTGTATTGAAAATGAAAGTCAGCACTTGGCTGTAATATTCGCGGGTATCTAGTAATTTAGCTGCTTGACAAGTTAGTCTACTACATTTTTTGAAACTAGCCATAGTCATAAAAAAAAAACATGTGCGTGAAAAGTCATAGAATATCAATCAATATAGGTGTTAATTTCTAGATAAAACAAAATTTTAGTCAGAAAATTGTTTCAAAGCTAATATCCAGTTTAACATGTACCCCAAGCTCACATCCATTTTATATTTATATTATTTTTAACTGAGAGATTTTTTAGCCGTCGGGCTTAAGGTTAATCTGAGAAATATTATTTTAGTTTAAATAAAATAAAATACAAGATTAATCATATTTCCAGCATATGCATAAAAGCTGCAGCGTTGCCAACAGATAATAAATAATAGAAATGTCAATTGTGAGTTGATATTCACAATTAAATAAGCAACATTGCCAACATCATCATTGTAGCCTTGCCAACTCAAGGACTGATTTTTAAGTTAAAAGAACTGTTTAAATGTGTATATTATTATTAGAATTTTCTAAAGCACGTAGAACAAGTATTTATTTATTTTTATTTATTTATTTAAATTTAGTACATAGTATAACTAGCCGAAGATATTGCTAAACCAGCTACGCAGAGGTGCAAAGCAAATGGGTTTGGTTAACCACAATGTATCCACTGAGAGACGCAGCACCTCCATGTAGTCAAAGGTGCAGCTACTCTGCTCGAAGGCTTTTGTTATAGGCTTTGGCGTTGTCCTCTTAACAGCATCAGCATCATTATCGTCACCGTCATCGAGGGCGGCGCGTGCAAAAGCCTCGTCGGCATCAAAGTAATAGAATTCCTTGCGCGTGGAATTCGTCTCCACGACCCGAGCTGGCTGCTGGGCGTCCAGGCCGCGGGCATGGGCCCAGGACCGACCCGTGTGCCGCGATTGGCGATAGGGCGTGAAGGGTAAAAGTGGGGAGATTGGAGACTGAGGGAAGCTGGGCAGGCGTCCCGGGTAGAGTGGCGTCTGCGGTTGATAGCCTCCTAATCCTGTCTGGAATCCACCAAATCCTGGCTGATAGCCCAGTTGAGGTTGGTAGCCCAGCTGAGGCTGAAGGCTGCCCAGTTGAGGCTGAAGGCTGCCCAACTGAGGCTGAAGGCTGCCCAGCTGCGGCTGGAGGCTGCCCAGCTGGGGCTGAAGGCTGCCCAGCTGCGGCTGAAGGCTGCCCAGCTGGGGCTGAAGGCTGCCTAGCTGCGGCTGAAGGCTGCCCAGCGGTGGTTGAAGGCCGCCCAGCTGTGGTTGATAACCACCCAGTCCTGGCAGTGTCGGTATGGGATCACTTAGTGGTCCATTGCCAAACAGACCATAGCTAGTCGTATCCGTATCGTGAAAGATCTCCAGCAGAAAACCATTGGTTGAGCCACTGCTGCCCCCATGACCCATACGCAGACGCAGCGCCTTGCGTCCCTGGCGCCAAAATACTTTAAGCACAAACCCAGAGCGACAGCCACAATAACGCCGTCCATCCAGCTCCAGGAAATCCCCACTGCAACCAGTACCACTCGCTATGCCAAAATCAAAGAACTTGAACCGTATGCGCAAACCGGCAACACTTTGCGAACTCTTCTCCAGATAGAAGATGCAATCCCGCTGCTGATTCGGCAGCAACGCATTCAGCACGGTGCGTGGGAAACCCGGACTTGAGAGATAGAAATGTTCCTGATTAAAGCTACTCAGACAGCACAAATCCACCTGACCACCAAACTGTGGATCGTAATCGCGCAGATTGACGGCGGGAGACTGGAAGGAGCTTGTCTGATATTGATCTAAGACGTCGGGTAATTGTTGTTGTTCCTGCTGCTGATCTTGCTTTGGCTGCTGCTGCTGTTGTTGCTGCTGCTGAAGTAGTTGTAATTGTTGTTGCTGTGGCTGTAGTTGCTGCTGCTGCTGCTGCTGCTGTAGTAACTGGAATTGCAGCTGCCGCAACTGCAACTGTTGCTGTGGCTGTAGCTGTTGCTGTTGCTGTAGTAGCAGCAATCGTTGCAGCTGTAATTGCTGTTGCTGCTGCTGTAATTGCTGCTGCTGCTGTAATTGTTGCTGTTGCTGTAATTGTTGCTGTTGCTGTAATTGCTGCTGCTGCTGCTGCAACTGCAACTGTTGCTCGCTTGTACACGGCGGCAAATATAAACCACCGGCAGGGCTGGGCGCATACCAACTACCAGGATAGCCTGGATAGCCAGGAAAATTGGATTGCTGTTGCGGCAAACTGAAATTCAGTGTCGATTGCTGCTGATCTTGTTGTGGCTTCAACTGTTGCATCCCCTGCTGATGATGATGATGGTGGGCCGGGGTGGGCTTCTTGGGCGGCTGTTTGGCATTCACGAGCACCGTATCATCCTGGTCATCCTGATCAAGATCCAGACCGCGTGCTTCGTAATCCTCCCGTTCACAGGCCAAACGCGTGATGAGCAACTTGAATCCGCCACCCGTTGTCCAGGGTGAATCATCGCTGAGGAAACGTAAGCGGAGTATGCCATCCGGCGTTTGATACTTCTTAATACCCAGCACCTGGCCGCAAAGGACATCCATGTCGCGATCGTCGTTCTGCAAGCCAATGGCCAGATAATCACGACTACAATTATCCGACAACTCCAGCTGAAAGTCGAGGAACTGTATGTGGAATGTAGTGGGGCAGCGATATGGCGAACGTATCACATAATCCACACACCGATTGAATGGATATGTATTCGGATAATTGGGTGACTGGATGAGGCTTTGGCGTTCCCGATAAACGCCCTGGAGTTCACACTGCGGCAGCTCATCGTGGATGGATCCGTGAGTGCAGCTGCTCGAGCCAAGTAGGAGTAGCAATGCCAGCAGCCAGCTGCAGCCGCAGTAGGTAACACTTGATCCTGGCATATCCTTGGACCACAACATGTGCCAATTAGCGATGCGGCTTTGTAACCTGTAGAAACGCGCGACAAAACGCAACTAACTCGCAGCGGGTCAATCGTTGTGCTCTTTGGGTCGAAATTAGGTGCGACTTTTCGGTTTCACTTAAGTCAGCCCCATCCCCCCCCTCCCCCTCCGCGCCCTTCTTCTCCATTGGCGCCGACAACAATTTGCACTCTTGTTTATGGCCACAACAAAAGCGTTCATTTGTTTTGGCTTACACCAAAAGACACTCAAAAAAACAATCTCACGAAATATAAAAAAAAGTTTCCCTGAAAATTGGAAATATGTTCTTTTTAGAAATAATTTATAAATACTAGAATATATTTTCATTAAAATAGAAATGATTGGCAATACTAAAAATATTGTGGTTTTTATAAATATTTTACATTATTAAAAAATAAAGATGATGTTGTCTACTTTAAAGGCCAAGACTTATACATATTTTTTCAAGATTTTAGAAAAATACACTCTGAACTTAAGAAATAATTTTGAAAGCCGCAAGCTTAAATTTTAGACATTTTATTTCTGAATAATAAGGTAAGGAATTCTTGGTGCCAAAAAAATGTCTAAAATTAAGATATATTTTTTGGGGAGTGTACATAGTTTGATGATCTTTACCCTGTTCCATTCACAATTGGTCAAGCACTCGCGTTCATTGAACTCCCAATATTATACAAACATTTGGCAAATATTTTACACATATTTTAATTGGCGAAGTAAATACTTCCTACATTAAGTACGTGAAATTACTTGACAATGTGGTGCAAAAAGCTTCACAAAAAAAAAGAGAAGAAAATCTACAACTAGTAACTATGCTGTCAGTCCTAATTACTTGGTTTTCTGTGATTTTCTATGTTTCAAATAAAGACCAGAACTTTGCAAACATTCTAGTATTCTATATGATTATACGTTATCCATTTTTAATATGCACAGGGTATAGAGTAAACCATTTTATTATTAGTGGCTTTAGTGTGTAAATTTAAAATTAAATGTTTGTAATATTGACAAAAAAAAAAAAGAAAAGATTTTCTTTATGGCTATGCCACATAACTCTTCTGTAGTTTTATTACTTTTTCAATCCAATAAATTCAAGGCGGTGCTTCGAAAAGTGCAGCACAACAAATTAGTGCCAGAGTTCAGGGGCAACAAATTATGCTTTTTTTTCAAATATCATTTCACCTTTCATACAAATAAATCGTTGCCATAAAAGCCAATGCGCAAAGTGTTGGTGGTAAGCGCACTCATAAAACCAACAGCAACAAAAAAAGCGAAAGAAAAATATAAAACAGATGAAACAACAACAGAAAACTGGAAACACGAATCCAATAACTGTGTCTATTTACGATGGAGCCAACTTGCATAATACTACATAGTATTTGTCGTGGGAGAGAATGCTGCACTTGGACCACGCCTCAGTAAAAAAGTTGCTTTATCGGTGTCAAACAAACAATTGGGGTTATATCCATAAGATAAGACGTGTGCAAATAGTAGGCAATACCATCTTTCGTTGGGTAACCAATATTTTTTTGAGCCAGTTAGATACAAAAAAATATTTTTATTACTACTTTAATTTCTTGTACTAAAACACTTTCCCTTAAGCTTGTATGAAGATCGTTTTTAAATTTAAGGTTGCTTTATACAATGCTCAAACTATTCAAATGTTTTCTGACAAACGAAATTTTTATTCCGTAAGAAATGAGCTAAGGCCTATATCCTATTAGAAATTCCTACAAATTCAAAATTCCAAACTAACAGCAAACAATTTTGGCCTTTTCTTTCGCGACTTTTCGGTATTGAAATTCATCTATTTGGCTTGTAGTTCTTACAATGACAATGCGACTTAATTTGGGCTCAATTTTAAGGAGCCAAGTAGAGTATCCCATTAACGAGCCCGGCAATCATGATACCAATAAAATGGATGGATGCTCATTAAGATTGGGAGCTGGCGGCGGTCATAATTACTTCCCGGATAAGGTTGACGTGAAGGCTCGGGTGCACAGCATGATGGCCAATATACATAAGCATATGAAGAGTGAGTTTCAGTCTTAGAGCTATGTATGCATATTTATTTTTTCTTACATTGTCCAAAGCAACAATTCCACCGCGCAAGGCTGTGCCAACGATACCGGCTCCCATAGCGGAAATATCCACGTCGTCCACTGCAACCAAAACAACTAATGCAAAGAAGAATCGTCGCATTCGGGGCGGAGGCGTAGGCGCTCTTGCGGCCGGCAAGAACTCAACGTTGCCACTATCGCAGATCAAGGCTCGGTTGAGTCGTCAGTCGCAGCAGGTGATGCGACGAGGCTACACTGAAATTGGGCAAAAGAGTTTTACGAATCAGCGACGCATTCGGGAGGTGTTGCTTCAAAAAACTGTGCTAGAGAATATGTTGTTACAGCACAAGAGATTGCAGCGCGACAGGCAGACAATTGCGCTGGAGATACAGCAAATGCGTCAAGAGCTCGATAAGATCAAGAACAGGCTGGACACATCGCAACAGGCCCTCAACTCCACGCGCACCCTGTATACGGGCTTCATCAAGGGCAAAAAGGGCCTGATGCCGATGACTCTGCCAACGAATGTTGTCAACAGTGGCAAGCCAAAGTCATTTGATACAAAAATGTCTAGTGTATCTGCAAAAAGTCAGCTCTCGGTAATACCAAAGCGTCGCAATCGCCAAGTCAAAACAAAATAAAAAAGAAATAACAAAAACAAAAAAAAGATCAAGCAAAGTAACATACAAAATTGCGCGGCATTGTATTGAAGTGATGCAGCCCTCGCTTTACCGATTCACTCATACGGGTCTATCTTTATTTTGTGGCATCTATCGATTAAGAAACAAAAGTGACATCACTAAATCATGGCGTCTGTCTCGCCCGAAACAAGCAATAATTTTGTTTTCTCCATATATTTCCGTTCATACTCACTTTGTGTGGCACCATCACTGTTCCAATCGTGGTGCATCCATAAATAACAGCGATTGCCCTAAAATGGGCTCGTCGAAAAAGCACAAGAAGAACAAATCGGAGCGGCGCGAAAAATATGAAGGTAAAAAGCCGACACATGCGTGCTAAATATACGGCGGGCATTTTTCATACGTTGTTTACACTTGCATTTGTTGTTGTTGTAGAATATAGCCAACACCAGGATCCCGCACAATTGCAACGCGGCCTGAAGCTAATCCTAAAAGTTGGCTCGAATGCAACGCCCGAATACAGCGCCAATTCACCGCTAACAACTCTGGACGCTGGTCATGGACCCCCAACAGCTGCAGAGGCGATGATGGCGGCGGCTCCGGGCAGTCCCACAGTGCCCGATGAGCTGCAGTGCGACGGTGAGCTGGGCGGCCATCGTGAGCGACACAAGAAGTCCAAGAAGAAGAAGAAAAAGAAGGATCGCGAGAAGAAGCACAAACATCACAAGGAGAAGCGTCATCGCAGCCGGGAGAGACATCGCGACCTATGCTCCGAGGAGCGGCTCAACGATGAGACAACACGAACAACACCCGCACCGGATGACGCCGCCTGCAGTGGCTTCTCCTCGCAACAGCGGAGTCCGCGCAGTCAGGCGCCGGCGTCAGTGGATGCGGATTGCAGTCAGGATGGCTTCAGCTATATGGACGATGATGCGGAGCAGTCGCCATCACAGCCACTCCCCGAGAACATCTTGTACTATGCGGGTATTACCACAGACAATTCGCCTTCCAATTGTCCGGTCACGAAGCCGATAGCTCCGCGTAAACTGGACGATATGCTGCTCAGCTCACCAAACTCTTCATCACTGGGCATGACGGCAGCCGGCAGTAGTCCAACAAAACCGTTGCCCGATGTGAGTGTATTCCAGATTAGGAATCGTTTACAATTTAGATGATTGTTTAGCTAATGAATTGTTTTTGTCCAACAGCTACTTATACCTTCGCCTTCTGGTTCGACGGCTGCGTCCACGCCAGGCGGCGCCAGTTTACTGAATGCGCTGACACCCAAGGCGCTGGAGGCGCCAAAAACGCCCAGCAGCAGCAGTGAATCGGGACGTGAGCCCCGCAGCTGTGTGTTGAAGCTGAAGCAGCAGAAGTCGCCGCTCAATAAACTGCTGGAGCATCTGTTGCGCTTCCTGGAGAAACGGGATCCGCATCAGTTTTTTGCGTGGCCCGTCACCGATGACATTGCGCCCGGCTACTCATCCATCATTAGCAAACCGATGGACTTTTCCACGATGCGCCAGAAGATCGATGATCACGAGTATGCGGCGCTGAGTGAGTTCAGCGACGATTTCCGTTTGATGTGTGAGAATGCCATACGCTACAATCATGTGGACACCGTTTATCACAAGGCGGCCAAGCGATTGCTACAGATGGGCCTCAAGCAGCTGCAGCCGGAGAATCTAATGAGAACGCTAAAGCCGCTCTCTGTCTACATACGGGAACTGACCGCCAAGGAGTTGGGATTCGAGCTCAGTTGCAATGAACTGGCCTTGGGCTATGATCCACACGATTCGGCGGATGAGGGTGCGTCGACGGGTGCCGAGGAGCCCACGCCTGCCCAACTCGAGGAGGAGGAGCGCAAGCGGGCGCTTCGTTTGGAAAATGCACCCAAAACGCACTTTGAGCCGTATGTGGATGATCTGACCAGTGAGGAAATACTCGCTCAGGTCCAAGGTGCCGCACAGCAAGCCAAGCAGAGGATGAGTGCCAAGCAGCGGGCACACAAAATGGGCTTCCTGCGCCAGCACAAGGATGGCAGCACCACGCTCAATCTGCTCATCCGAGATGAGAACGAGGGACCCGAAAAGGTGGTCACAATCGGCGATTTGGTGGGTAAGCTGCCCGCAGGCAGTGTTCACCTGCAAGGCATCCACACGGATCAGCGGAATGCTGTCAAGCCGGTCAAGCCCATGAACTATGGTCCATTTGCCAGTTTTGCGCCCACATTCGATTCACGCTTCTCCACGCTGAGTGCCGAGGAGACGCAGCTGGTGCTGCGCACCTACGGCGATGCGTCCAGCGCCGAATATGCCGAGAGCATACTGCAGTTCACCAGGGACTCCAGCTATGGCACGAACATTGCAAACGGTCTGCTCGACATACTCACCAATGGGGAGCACAGTAAATCCCTCGACGAACTGTACAACATGCAGATACAAAACTACGAGCAGCAGGAGATTGAGAAGTGCTTCAGCAATCATCAGCAGGACCAGCAGCCAGCTGAGGAGGCAACCGCATGCAACGAGCAGACAAGCGAACAGATCGAATTGGAGTATGAGAAGTACAAGGACACTCGACTGGACTTCAAGCGGCTGCGCTCGCTCAAGGATCTGGGCATCGATGTCGGGTTCCTCGACAGCATGGAAACCGATATGAAGAACTTTGAGTTATCGCGTCGCATGCACGAGCACCTAAGCAATAATCTAACCCTTATCGAGAAGCTCCGTGTCATCCAGCACGAGCGGCTCTCGCAAACACTGCCAGCGCACTTGGCTCAGGTACCGCACGCTGGCCAGGAGGAGACGCAAACGGCACAGCAGCTAACGCAGCAGCTGAGTGACTTGGCCAAGAAGCTGCCACCTTCAGCGATTGCCGATCAATATGCCTTGCGCAAGGCAATGGGCATGTCCTTTGGTAGGTCTTCATATCAGTCGATAGTCAATCTAAAATTCCATATTAACCAATTCTGTTCTCTTGCAGCCGGTTTGCCACCACCGCCGGCCTCGCCTCGCGTCCAATTGCCCGAGCTGCTGCAACAACCTGTGTCGCTGCCACAACTGCAACCCGTTGTTGGCCACGTGCCCATGGACATTGATGAGCCGGACGTGCATGCCGGCGGCGATCTGGAGAACGAGCTGCGCGAATTTCTCGAAAGCGGATCGGGCATGCACGCCTCCAATCCGGCGGATGATAATAACATTGTCGCCCAACTGCTGCTCAACTAGACGAACGTACAATCTTCTGGCGAACCCAAAACGCCGCACGCAATGTTAATAATGCTAGATAACAAACTACGCTAAATTATTTTCATATATCCACATCGCTATGGCATTTTCAATAAACAAAAAAAAAAAAAAATTAAAGGAAACTAAGTAAGAAATAATTGCCTTTGATTGTAAAAGATTTAGTTATTTATAATTGAAAACAATGATTTCAATTTGTTGACAATTCTACCTTTTGTTTATTGAGGCTTTGGTATTTCTGATCTTTTTCTGATGTACAAATTTACTAATCCTCCTACGATGTCCGAAAAGTATTATAATAGATGGATGAATCGGATTTGGATTTGGTTAAGAAATAATAAATAAAATAGAAATATACATATATAAATATGAACATACACGTATATAAATATGAACTGTCGATTCACATTGGTTAGTTGAGTTTTATTTCTTTCTTATACACATAATTTCAATTGTTGTTTTTAAGTACACGTTTCAAGTATACACATTTTACAAAAATGTTGCAAAATTTAATTAACTACTGGGCATTATATCTTAGTGATTTAATCATTTGAAGGCAAATTCTTAAGAGGTTGTTTCCTTAGTTTGTTTGTTGTTTGTTTTCTTTTTAAGTACGTATCATATATATATTGCGTAATTAAGAATTTAACAAATGGACTCGTTTTTCGGTAGTTTGTAACATGTAAACTTTGAATAGAAAAATAAACTTGGCATGTAATTCCACATACAAATACATTATACATATGTATGAATTGTCGATGGTTACATACGAATACATTATCATATACACAAATCGAACGTAGGTAAGTACATACACGTACGTACATAAATATATATACACATTCAAATACATTTTAAGCACATTGTACTAATAAAACCGGTTTAACTTTGTTGGCTTAAACTAATGAACATTTTAATGGTATTTACTAATTGCACGCACATACATATTGTGTGTATTGCTATTGTTGTTGTTGTTTTTTTTCTTTGTTGTTGTAGTAATTTCTATTGCTGTAATTGTTGCTTCCGCTGAGGTAGAGCACATTAACTAATTAAGTAATTATTATTTCGTTACCAGTGTTTGTCAAATAATTTTTGTAAAGCTACCGTTGAATTTGGTGCCTAACTATTTCTAGTTTTTAGTTTTATGTTTTTGTTTTAAGTATTATTTGTTTTGTTGGACACACTTGTTGGGTACATGAGTTTCGTCAAATATAAGCATTAAATTACTAAACCAGATTGGCATCCTTCGCCATGCTATAGAACGCCGATTTCGGATTGCCGAGCAGCTCGTCGGGTGAGGCAAACTCGGTAATTTGACCCTTATCCAGCACGATCACCTTATCCGAGTCCAGAATCGTATTCAAGCGATGGGCAATTGTCATCACAGTACATTCCTTAAACTCACTGCGAATTGTTTTCTAAATAAAAAATACAAAATATTGTTTATTAACCTTTCTTGATTGGCAGCTCAAATGCTTACCTGAATGAGGTCGTCGGTTTCCAGATCCACAGCCGCTGTGGCCTCGTCCAGGATGAGCACTTTAGTCTTGCGCAGCAAAGCACGCGCCAAGCAGACCAATTGACGTTGACCCACGGATAGATTTTCGCCACCCTCGGAGATTTCGTGATTCAGACCGGCTGCTAAACTCTTGGCGAATGCCTTCAGATGCGACAATTCCAATGCTTTCCACAGCTCCTCATCGGTTTTAATCTCAAATGGATCGAGATTGGAGCGCAGCGAGCCGGAGAACAGCACGGGATCCTGTGGTATGATGGTTAGGCGCGAGCGCAGCATATGCAGACCCATGCTCGCAATATCCACTCCATCAATGAGAATCTTACCACCAGCCGATTCAATGATTCTGCAAGAGCAAGCAAAAGAAAAGATTTAATTTAGTTAATAATTATTAACAGAGAACTGCCGCAATGTTGTTAACATTTGTATGTTATGTCGGTAATCAGACAGATCTCTTTATGTTATGTTCAAGATGCGTTGCAGTTAATAAAATTTGTAATTTAGGATAGCTGTTATTTAAATGCTTATATTTCAATATTTGCATGGCAAGTCACTGTTACTGGTATGTGGCTTAACATTAGTTGTTTGCAGCTCACCTGAATAGAGCCAATGTTAAACTGGATTTGCCAGCGCCAGTGCGTCCCACGATGCCGACCTTCTCGCCGCCCGTTATGTTGAAGCTGACGCCGCGCAGCACCAGGTCGAGACCCTCGCGATAGCGCACCTGGAAATTCTGAAACTCGACTCGACCATCGGCGGGCCAATTCTTTGGCTTCTGCTTGTCCGACTCCAGCTCCCAGGGAGCCTCCTGTTTCGTCTCGCCATACTCCTTTATGCGCTCCACAGACACAATGTTCGTCTCAATGTCGGAGGACATGCGCACCAGCCAGTTGAGCGTTTGGGTCACCTGCAGCGCATAGCTGACCGACAGACCCACCAGGCCGGGATTCGTTTGGCCACCGAGCACCGCAAAGAGCGAGGCAAACAAAATGATTAGATTGCCAACCATCTCCAGGCGAACGGCGAGCCAACGATTGGCAATCAGAGATGGATATTTGCACACTTGATTCTTGTCCACCTTTCCGTCCGATTCATCAATGAAGCTGCAAGCGAACATAACAATCGATAAATCGTGATCGAATTTAAATTTGCCGCCATGTTTTGGTACGAATTTTATTCATTAAAAGGGCAAATTTGTTGATACAATAGATATTTAATATACCCCGATATTAAATACTCACCGATCTTGTACAGTATAGGCGCGTATCGTCGAAACTCCAGTGACTGTCTCGCCAAAGTGTGAATAGATTGGTGAACGGGAGACGGACTCCAAGCGCATCAGTTGACGCGATGTTGCCACATAGAATCGTTGGGCGAAGTAATAGATGAACGCAATGGGCACAATGACAGCCAGGAAAATTGGCGTTGAAATGCTAATAACCACAATAGTTGCAAGAACCTAACCAAAATATAATTTCATATTAATCTCCATACCTATAAAGTTGACGGTGGTTAAAAAGTGTGCAGAGTGTTGAGAGGAGTTAGTTGAAAATAATAATGATAGGAAACTGAAATTGTTTGTTAAAATTCATGATCCGAGTCGAATTCGATACGATTCAGTTGCATGCCCAAACGCTGTTATTTGATTTGAGTCCAGAAACCTACCTAGCTCAAGGATTTTATCTTAATCTCACTTTCCACTAAATAAATGCATATTTCAACGAAATGCTAACACTGGAGTAGATCAGTGGTATTCGAATTGAACTGGTTACTAAAACTGGAATAAGAATAGGAAGTTTATAAAGGATTGGTGGGAAAGTTTTCAATCATAAATCAGCTTCAGTTTTCTGTTTAGTTGTAGTTGTTTAAATGTATGTCAAATCTGAACTAAAATTGAAATTGAAGTAATTACGTTCGGTGCAATTTGTGTTAAGTTTTACCTCATAAGTCAGCACTGAACAGATCATCAGAAGTGCTGGCAAGTATTGATCAACTACAAGAATATCGTTGGAGAATCTGGTTATAGTACGACCCACCGGAGTGGTTTCAAAGAATTGCACAGGGGCATAAAGCACACCATGCAAGAGACTCCCATGTATCTTTTGAGCAGCACGAATGCCTCCAAGAGCCGGAAACAGGGACAGGAGATTCGATGAAATACCTGGCGGATTAACAATGGAGATAAACAAATTGAACTGGTGCCAAATGTACTGAAAGTACGAGTGCTGTCGGACAGTGCTCCACAAAGTGTGTAAATAATTCAAATATGGATGAAACACAATTAACCTTTTAAGTTGGGTTAGAAAAAGTAGAAAGTATGATCTAGTATGATATTTATAAAAAATTATAATCCACATATATATATATACAACGTGTACAATAATTGAAATCAGGAATATCTCTTCAATTTCTGTTACCTCATGGAGCAGCCACACAAAATTTATTATGAGATGCGGCAGTGCGTGATCAAGCGTTTCAATATCTTTCGAGAATCGCGATATTATGCGACCCACCGGCGTGGTATCGTAGAACTCTACGGGTGCGCACAGCGTACGGCGCAAGAGGAAGGCGTGAAGCAGGCTAGCAGCCCGTAAACCTCCAATTGCGGGCATCACAGCCTTCACAACGGATAAAAAACCTGAAGATTGAGGAATTTAATTTCGAATTTAATTTTAAAAAGTTCGAAGCAACTCGAAGTTAGAATTTGCTGTTTCCATGCTGAATATACGCGGCAAAAGTGCTGGTTGGGTTTAGACTCTCAAACCAAAGCGAAAGAAAGATTAGTTTTGTTTTTCTTTATGTTTTTGGATTAGTGTAACATAGTTGGGGATTATGTGATATACAACAAAAATACGAAAATGCAATATACAGTTGTTAATTTGTTCTGTAGCAATTTTGACCGAATTAAGAAAGGGGTTGGTGGGGGGATGTAGAGTTTCTATTGTTAGTGCTTAAAATTACCTCAAATGCACACCAAAGACAATCGGTCATAACCTCCACAATTTTCTGGTCAACCGTTTCAATATCTTTGGAGAAACGGGACATAATGCGACCCACTGGCGTGGTATCGTATAAGCTCATGGGTGCGCCCAACATACGGGTGAGGAGGAGGGAGTGTAGCACCTGGGCAGCGTGCAAGCCTCCAAGCTGTATACCCAAATCCGAGAAGAACGAGGCAATACCTGCGATTGGGATGGATCAGATGATCAGATCAATGGTCCAATGGAATCGTTAGTGCATACTACAACAAGTATGACGAAACAGTATTATTTGAACACTTTAGACTAAAATGAAGAAGAAATTACAAAGCATTCACGGCGCAGAAACTATAATACGGTATTGTTTACAATTTGGAGATTTTCGAATTTGGTTTTTAGTTTTAAACGGTCCTCAAATTGCTACAATTTGGATTTTTTGTATTTTTTTTTAGTAAAATGTTAGTCGCAGATATTACTTTAGGTTAGTCACGAACATCGCAAAGGCAACATACCCGAAACGCTTGTGAGCAAAAGACTTGAAATATTTGGGGCAATACCGAATCCAATTTGTACACATCATTAGCCAGCCGATCGATAATGCGGCCCCTGGGTTGTATATCGAAAAAGGACTGAGGAGCGCCCAAAATACGCCTAAACAATTGGCGAAAGATTCTCTGCGCACCTCGCAGACCCGCAATATAAACGGTAAGTGTGTTGCCTATTTGGCTACTAACTGCAATTAATAGTTGAGTTAAGTGGGTAGATTTGAGGTTAAAACAAAAACGTGTTAATTTTGTTTTTAGTAACAAGAACAATTTGCGAATAAAACGTTTAAAAATATGTGTAGATATGCATTGAAATTTCACAGAACAAACTTTAGATTGATGCTGTTTGCTAATGAATATGATAATCTGTAAGCCTATCTGAGACAATCAACTATTGGGAGGAACTGACAAACAAAGACTGACACTTCGCAGGAGAGACAACTTTTGTAGCAACCCCGAGGTTTCCATACCAAACTCAAAATAGGACTAATAATAAAAAGTGAAAAGTGCCGCAATAAAAGTGGAAAGTCAAAAGTGAAAGTGAAAAATCAAAATGTTAACTTTGAACTGATAAATGGCATCCTGGATTGGTATTAGTGGACAGGGTTTGTTACCTGAAACGCTGTGGACAGGCACATGCGTATATTTAGCGGCATGACCAGATCCAGGCAGCTGATATCGTTCGAACAGCGATCCAATATGCGCCCCTTGGGCGTCGTATCGAAAAACTCAGATGGGCAGTGCATGATATTATTAAAAAGCTGTCGAAACACTTTGAATGAGGCGTTAAGAGAGCATGTGAAGAGTGTGATGGCGGCGCCGTAATTGCAAAGACCTTCATCATAAAATCAATATGAATATGTGTATGTGTCGAATGCATGAAAAAAGAACGGAATATGGAGTAGAAAAAGAGAGAGACAGACAGAGATTTTGGTACATGGTGTGTAGATTAGATTAGGCAAATCTTAACTTCTAGAAACATAAGTTTTATGTTGTTGTTTTTTTTTTTTGTTGGTGTTTTACAAACCGTAACTCAAGTGGGCTACAAACGTAAGATAATAAAACGCGTGGGGGAGAGAGAGAGTCAAATAAAATGCATAAGAAAAATACCATAAATATAAAGGTCATGAAGGAGTCCACGGTGGCGGGCAACTCTTCGTCGATAACATCCATATCGGCGCTGAAATTGTTCAAGATGCGGCCCAGGGGCGTTACGTCGAAGAAGCGACAGATCGAGCCGCGCATTATGTAATGCAGCAGTTTGTTGTGCAACGTTTTGGCCGCATTGAGGCCGCCGCAGTATACAATCACGACCGCAATGTAGGCAAACACACCTGCATGGAACGGAACGGAATGGAATGGTATCGGCACGACACGAAACGAAACGATAAATCGATCAACATTAAATGTTTGGCATTAAACAGTAAGTAAGGCGAATCTACTTATGTAATGCGAATCAGAAAATGGGCGCGTGTTTATTTCTATGGTAGATATATCTATCCCAAAACCCACCCACCCAGCCAGCCCAGCTCCAATCCAGGGCCCCATAACTAATCAGTATTAATCGGCAAGGACTCTGAGACAAGTGCGTCCTCAGATTAAATATGTGTTGGGTAGTCGTGTGGTTCAAAATGAGAATTAGGCTTTATAATAAATAAGAAAAAAGCAAAAGCATAAGGCATACATAAGGAAACTCAATTATAATTGAGGTTATGACTCAAATCAAGTAAGAGCGTTTAGTTTTTTTGCAATAATGTTGTAAATGTAATAAGAAAATAATGGAATGGATATTGCTTTTTGTAATCTTGTTAGTAGCTTTCGTTTTGGGGGGGTAGAATTTTTTAACCAATTGTAGCCAAGCGAGAGAAAAGTGCTGGATTTGAGTTTTATTTGTTTTGTTTGCGCTTATTCTTAAAGTATCTTTACCGAATAGCATGTCGATAGAAACTGCGACACAATTTGGGGCAGGACGTTGTCAACTGTGTCGACATCCTTCGCAAAGCGACTGAGTATGCGACCCAATGGCGTTGTATCGAACATTTCCATTGGCCATTTAAGCACCATGCTTATCAGCTTGCTAAACACCTCCAGGGAACAATGTAATCCACCCAGGGCCAATGCTAGGCCGGACAAATAACGTGCCACAACTGCATTTGAGCGTTAAGGATATTGAATAACTACCCCAAATTAAATTGCTTATCAGTTATATATACACAAGTATTAGTATAGCTTTATAGCTTAACACAAGAAAGAGATCCCAATAGCGGACATGCTGAGCATGCGAGAACTAAAACTATATACTATACTACGACTATATATATACATAGACATGTTCGGACATGACAGTTCCCAACAGTTAGTCAGTTAAAATCGAGGCCGAATTACGTGGAATATTAGTTAAACTGAACACAGAAGGGGTCTAATCCGGAATTTCAAGTCATACATTTAGTTAAGAATATTACAAATTATCATGTTGACATTTTAAAAATGTTTTTAAAAATGAAAGAGATCATGAAATTTAAAACCGCCACGAGGGTGAAAAAGATCCCCAGAATTCCACAGCTAAGCTGGGAACATCGAGTAAACTCAATTTAGAGTTGGTCTCTATGGATTCTAGGTAATATTTGGCTTAGAAGTATCGTTGTGTACGAAAGGAGTTAAGCAGTTGAGACAACATTTACCGCCATTAAACAAAATAGGACAACTCGAAAGAGCATTGGAAGTGTACTGTCGACAACATTAACATCCTTCGAGAAACGATTCAGAATTCGGCCAACTGGCGTGATTTCAAACATTGCCATGGGCCAGCGGATTACACAAAGGAGCAGGATCCTGTGGAGTATGATGCCGGCGCGGATGCCACCCATGGCCAGCATAAGGGAGGATCCGATAAATGCCAAGACTGTGAGATAGGTAGGCTTATTACGATTATACTCTACAAAACTACAATACAATTGTTAAGACTGCAAAACTGTGGTAGCTACGAAACTAAAGCTTGCTGCAGGGTGCAGCCTATAACCTATTCGGATATGTAAAATGGTAAAGTTATTTGGGTTCGTCGACTAATGAGAGAGATGGTAACGAATTGAAATTACCGCAAACATTTGCATAACGGCTACGCGCAAATTAAGTGGCAGGGTGTTGTCGCATGTATCGACATCCTTGGAGAAACGATTCACAATACGGCCCTGGGGCGTTATGTCAAACAGTTCCATTGGCCAGCGCAGAACGAAATGCACAAGGGTCTCATGCAAATATTCCGCACTATAAATGCAGCCCAGCGAGAGGGCAAGGGTCGATAGGAAACTGGTCACAACTGCATTTATCGGAAGTTCAGAAAGTTAGTTGACTTTAACCAAACGAACAACAAACAGAATATATAATGACAAAAGCAAGGCCAAACGTTCTTATATATATATCCAAATTTCACCATTATGAGAGGGGGGTTGGCAGTATAATGGATATAATGAATCCCAATAGATATGATGAGGGTGCAGGAATAAGTACGTTAGTAGAGATCGTAAGTAGTAGAGGCAAGACTGTCTGTCATCGAAATAGTTTACCATGAAAGCCTGCATCATCACGACACGTATATTGAATGGCAGTACGGTATCGACGACATCGATATCTTTCGAATATCGATTAACAACACGTCCTTGCGGCGTCGTATCGAACAGCTCCATCGGCCAGCGCAAATTCGAATGCAACAGTGCGTTATGCAAGGTGAGGGAGCACTGAAGAGCGCCCAACGAGACCGTTAGTGATGAGAAAAATGTCGATCCGACTGCAAATTTTGTTGGTGGGGTACAGGTCATCGTTTTCGTAATGATTGGATAGAGGAGTTTTTTTTTTTGGATTTTCGTTTTTGGGGCGAAACACAATACACACAAAGCAATTAATTTTGTAAGTTCTGAATATTTTATTACATGCGCACATACACGATATAAAAGATAATAAAAACACACACAGATTATATTATCGAAAGTAATCGAGTGTGGACAGAACTGTATCAATTTCCAGTTTCGAAACCGAAAAATATCAGGCTATCGATAAATTTTAATTTATGCTGGATTCACATAGAGCAACATAAAGCGTCAATCATCACGGTTTTGCCATGCATTATCAAAAGATGATCTAAATCATTTTGTTACACTCAAAATACTTCAGTATTCTTCGGTCCAAAATTGAATTTTTTTTGGCATTCACTGCGAAAATGTAAGCAAAGCCGGCGCAAACAATTTAAATTATAATTTAAAAATTTCAAATGGGGAAACAAAAGAATTTGAATTAGCGTAGCAGGTTGCAAACAAGGTTGTCTTAGTTGTTATTTAAGATACAAACATTTAACTTCTTAAATAACACCCTTCCATTAATTATATAAATTGTAATTAATTATTTATTTGAATTGAGTAGTGGCCAAACGGACAAATGCATTTTCCGCAAATCGTGTGACTATGACAATTGTTTTTTGCGAACAGATTTTGCAAAACTGTGCAGAGTATTAAAAATAGCAACTACATCTAATTTCTCCACAAAATTCAATTTAAATTTGTTTGTCAACTAACAGCTTTGACGGATGCTGATGTGAACAGTGTCGCAGCTCCAATTCGTTCCGCTAGATGTCGCTCTGTGTGATTAGTCTTTAACAGTAAGTTAACAGTGTGGATTTAGCTTTGCCGTCTCAAACTCTAAGCAAAATTAAAAATGTTTCCAAGCGCTTTTACAGCGTTTTTTGGTTTATATGGAGTTTATAATTATCGATAACGTTAATTTTCGATCTGAAAACAGGCCTTGAAGCACAGCATTGTATCCAACAGAAAGTGAATTGTTATTCATATTCGGACCATGCCATAATTACGTGCTGGGCGAAGTGTTAGGTCTGTTTAGCGTGCAGCATTAGCGATTAAGTGCAAATTAAAAGGTGTTACTTGGCATATTGATAGCCGTACACTATATGTTTATATATATTTAAGTGTGCTTTGTAAATATGGGTACAATTGCGGTCGATAGATTGTTGGTCAGTGAGACGGGATGAACGGTTTAGGGTTTGTCCACAGACTAAGCTGTAAGGGGTTTTTTTTTTGCATGAATTAGCGGGTAAACATAAATAGCAACACATAAATAAGAATTAAACATAAATAGCCAGATACCAAATAAATACAATACTTAACTTGCAACCAAGACACAATGTGATAAAGAATAAGATGTTGTCGCTAGTCGCTATAAATCCAGTTTTCTAAAGCATTTACTCAACATAGATATCTATAGCAATATTTACTTTATTCGTTTCGAAAGCGATTTCATCTGATTTTCTATCACATTAGTTAAAAATAATAATTAAAAGCCATTGGAACATTAAACAATAACGGAACGGAAATGAAACGATAACGATTACATAACAATTACGTAAATGCGACAAAAACGAACACAAAATGCTATAAACTGAATCACAATGAACTCACCTTGTCCAACACCGAAGGCTCCGTAGACACCCAAATACATATTCCTCAGTCCCGTATCGTTCTCGACTTCTTTGTCATTTGACCATTTCGTAAGCCACAAATTGGAGCCGATTTGGAAGCCTTGGAACACAAAATTGAGCACTAGCGTTGCAACTGACAGAAAGATGCCGACACTCTTGATATAATGCTTATAGACGGCAAAGTCGACGCCACCCGTCTGCGATTTCTCTGTCTCAATCAGTTTGCCTTCGATCTCCTGTTTCTTCTTCAACGAGGCAGCCGATCCTCCAGAATCATACGAATTTTGTCGCTTACCGCGACGACGCAAACTGCCGCCCATCAAGCTGCTGGCGGAGTTGATGGATCTGAAATATCAATAAAAAAAAGAGCACTTAGTAAATGTTCTCGCTTAGTAAATGGTTGCAAGATCAACTCACATGGAGTCAGAAAGGCTTTCGGTCCGCGCCAGTGCAATCGCTTTCTCAAAGGGAACGACCAATTCGGGATCTGTCTGAGAGAGCTGACGTTTGATTTGATCGATCTCTTCTTCCTCAACATCGCCCTCTTGCAGATGTTGCATAAGGAAGTCGGAGAAGGCGCCCTTGCTCTTCAGCAATTCGCTGTAGGTGCCACTCTCAGTGATCTCGCCCAACTTCATCACATATATATTATTCGTTTGGGGTAGGAACGTAATGCCATGGGTAACAAGGACACGGGTCTTCTTGGCCAGCATGCCCTTCGGTCCGATCACCTCCTCAAAGATGTGTTTGCCTACGTGCGCGTCGACTGCACTCAATGGATCATCCAGCAGATACAGATCCGCATCGCTGTAGACAGCGCGCGCCAATGAGATGCGCTGCTTTTGTCCACCGGATAGATTGATGCCCTTCTCACCAATTTCGGTCTGATCGCCAGCCGAGAGTATTTCAATGTCGGTGCGCAGGGCGCAGGCATCAATGACGCGATTGTAGCGCTTGCGATCGTACGGCTTGCCAAACAATATGTTATCACGTACGGTCGCATTCTGAATCCATGCCTGCTGCGGCACATATGCCATAGTGCCGACGGTGTTTACCGAGCCCGAGATCTTTTCCATTTCACCAAGGAATGCTTGTATCACCGAGGACTTACCGGAACCGACAGTGCCAACAATGGCAACCAGATTATTCTGGCGCACCTCAATGTTGATATTCTTGAGCGTTATCTCATCCTCCTCGCCCCACGAGAAGAAGCCATTCTCAATGGTCATGGGATGTGCTATAAATAAATTGATAAAGATTAATGAATCCAATCCAAAATCTATATTTTATATACTCACGCTTTGAGGCATCATGCTGTACGTTATTGGGGTCCAGCTCTTCACTGTTCAAGAATTTATTTATACGACCAACAGAAACTTGCGTCTATACGAAGAATAAATCGATTAGAAAACTTTGCTCTCAACCCAACATTAGTTTCAACACACAGGAATAGTTATTAGTTAGTATTGTTTGTGGGATGTTTTGGAAAGGATGATGGGCGAAGCTCTTGAATACTAATGAATTGTCTCCAAATGTGGCAAGGTAAGCCCCAAAATTCGGACTTCCGCAATTTTTGTACCCTTGCAGAACTATGAGTATTTAGTGAATTATATCTATAAACTGCGAATAATAGCTTCCAATATGTCCTAAATTTCCTTGGTTCATAACTATTTTTCATTTTTTTTGTTAAGTTTTTCATAAGAAAATTCTTAAATCGGAAAATAGCTTAATGTATTTTTAAATTGTACGGAAATATCTAGCTAGTTTTAATTATAAGCAAATCAAATTCATATTTTTTACGTTATTATAAAAATTTCATAAATACCCTCTGCAAGGGTATGAATTTAGATCTCAATTGAATGAAGATGCTATTAGAAACGAATAGAAAAAGTACCCCAAAACCGGCTGCTAATCTGAGAATCTAATGAAATGTCCGACTAATTGTTAAACTTTCGTTACGTAGGACACCTGGATGATACATAAATGGACTCCTCTAATAACCCGTTAAGTTAACTTGATAATGACAGTGATGTTCGGGAGTTTAAGAAAAAGTATCTTGAGGAATGTTCTGGTGTGAGGTTAGGTAAGGGTTTAAAGTTGCTCTCGTTGCTGTTGCTAAATAAAATAATAATAATACAGTTGAACATAAATTACAATCACAATACGGCACAAGGGAACAATTTCACAGTGTGAACTGTTCTGTGAATGTTCTCCAGTTTCGGCATGTTATACTAATAGATATAGGTGTTAAGATATCATGCCGAAACTGGAGAAACATATGTTGAATTGAAATTGCAATATGATAAACTTACTTGCACCAGGTTGGTGATCAGCATGGGCAACATTGTTAACGGAAAACGAAGAATGTTGAATAATGATAATGAAACAAATGTTTTTTTCGCATCAAGCACATTATTCTCATCGACTAGAACATATGTGGCAAATGTGACTAATGATACCTAGAAAAATACATAAATCATTAAGGGTTAATGCATGTTTTTTTTTTCTTTTTTTGTTTTGTGTTCCATTACTGATGCTGATAGATGCCCATAGCCGAAGTAAATATGAGCGTTGATTATAATGCCAGTAGATCCTTTGTTTGCTGTAGCTTTACCTCGGCTATGTCAACCGTCAGCATTGGTATTATGGTGAGCGGCAATTTCATGATATCGAACAGTGCGAGACTGACAAAGACCTTCTCGACGCTCAGCTGATTCGCCTCACTGGACAACAGGTAAGTGGCAAATGTCACCAGAGATACCTTTTTTTTTGTATTTGTTTTTTTTTTTACATATTCATGTTTTTTTTTTGGGCAAGACAATAGACACAGAATCCACGATTAAAGCTCGTTCCATAAACGTCAAGTGCTGCAAAGAGAGTTCAAAGTGTGGCGCCGATTGGCTGGCAATTCTTACCAAAAACGGAGCACAGGACCACAAGAAGGATGTGCTGGCATTCAAATAGGCAGTAGAGCGTAGTGTGGCAATTTCCTTATCACGTATATCCAAGACTTGCTTCTCAAAACTGGGTTCCCAGGCGTACAACTTGAGCACCTGCAAAAACAAATGTGATTTGAATAATATTGTATTTTGTGAATAAATTCAAATATTCTGTGATGAAATGCTTAAAATAAAAGATGGTTTCTTAAACTATAAATTGAATACCAATAGATTGTTGTCACTCACCTTAATGCCACTGAGGACCTCGTTCATGAGCTTGACACGGTCATCCTTGTACTTCATTTGGCGTATCTGATAAGTCTTGATGCGACTGGCAATGAAGCCGTTCAACGGAATCATGATGATCATCACGGCGAGACCGGCCAGCACAGAGGGGCCCAACTGCTGCCAGAGGAAGTAGAGAGCTAGTGCAATTTGCAGTGGTGCCGACCACAACATATTCAAATAAGTGGTCAGATCCATGAAACGTTGCGCATCCACTGCCATCAGATTGACAATTTCGCCGACTGTCGACTGTTTGCGGGCGGCATTTGAGATGCGCAACGCTTTGCGGTAAATGCAATTGATTAGAGCTGTCCTAATGCGCAGACCGACAATGAACATGCGATGGAAATACTGGGCCAAAATGAAGGTCTGTGCACTGGCCAGGACGAAGAGTGCAACCGAATACAGTATACCCTTCCACTCCGGCTGGGGATTTTTTTCATAGTCCTCCACATAGCTAATGATCAGGCCAAGCACTTGGGGCTGGGCAAAGGTCAGGACATCAGTAATCAGCTTGAAGAACGAGCCGAACAGAAAGATTCCGCCGAAGGATTTGTAAATGGGCGGCATAATGCTGGCCAATCCCTTCTTCTTGCCACTGCTCTCCGGATTCTCGAAGGAAACGCGGCCATTGCTGAATTTAGCCTTTGGCTCATGCTTGGCGTTACTGGTCTGCTTGTGATTCTTGCGCACATTCTGGTTCCAGTAATGAGCAAAGGTGGGCATCACTTCCTTGCAACTATCCTGCGGCCGCAGATCCCACAAATCCTTCTCCTCCAGAGGATTGCGATAACCTTTCAGTGCCATGCCGTCGAACCAACGGTACGTGATGCGAGAGAGAAAACTGGCCGACAGCTCAGGTATCTCGTTGGGTCCACGATGGTATTTGGTCTGCCTGGGCAACTTGTCGGAGAAGCAGTTTAGCACCAACATCACGCACGAGAACGCAAAGAAAATGTAAAAGCTGACAAACTGATATTCCTCCCATGAGAAATCGTTCGGGGAGACCTGTTGCGAGTTGGTTATCTCATTGCGTTGATTATTCAGACGTGCCTCGGTGCGGCATCGTGGTATCGAGAAAATCACCAGCAGGAACCAGAATATGAACTGGCAGCCAGATGTCTGTACGCCGTACTTACGATTCAGTGGTATAAATATCAATAACATCAACTGCAATATGGGGAAAACAGTTATAGATAATTATATATGTGACAAGGTCAACATTGGGTTACCCAAGTTCATACTTACGAAGGTGGCAAATTTTATAATCGGTCCCCAAATGTCAAGGGCATAGAGTGGGCCCGAGCCCATTTCGTCGCCCTTCTTAACCAGTGCCATTATTAGATCCAGTGCGGTAATCACCAAAAGACCAAGATTTACAAATAGTTTTGCTGTGTTTAATTTACCCCATGGTATATTCTTATCTAAGCTGGCCTTCAGATACCAAAAATCGAACAACACAAATAGCCAGAAGAAAGCACAGGGAGTCCAAACAAGCACTGTTTGCTCGAAACAGGGCGTAAAATCAGGATCGGTTGTCCACCAAGTCTCGTTGGCATCCTATAAAAATATATATTTATGTGTAAATTAGAATTTGCCGATTTGTTACAAATAATAATACATTACCCAAAATGTGGAGCCACAAAACTGGTCCATGGCACTCAATTCTTCGGTCATGGTGGAGCTTTGGTTTTAGACTTTTGTGTAACCACTCGTCCACGTGCGACTCTGCAATTAAAACGATGCTGTAAAACATACAAAAATTACTATGCAAAAACAGCTGGTCAATTTCGCAGGAGGAAGCAGCAATAACAAAAATAAAATAAAAATGATGAGCACGAAACGATAACGATAAATTTTGGACAGATTGACAACATTTCACAGCACTGTTACTATTGTTAGTTATCGCACTTATCGCTTAGCAACATTGCACGGCGTTTGTACACTTTGTCATCCGCAGCATAAATAAAACACACTTTTTCTTGTCAAAAAAAAAGTAAATAGCAAAGGCAAGCTGCAAACTTACATTTATATGCTATATAAAAAAGAGCAAAGATGTCGCGCCGCACAAACTTTATCGATGGCAACGACAGCTTTCGCGAGCAAAATCTACGCTTTGTGCGGGTAAGCAAAATAAAATACCTGTACAAAAAAAAACAATAATTAATTTCTGTTGAATCCTGTAGAACGAGTTTGAGGATAACATAAATCAATTCTTTGGCTCTGGCAACGATGCTGGTCCTGCTAATGGTCCTGGTCAATCGGACAGTGGAGCCCCACCACGCGACTCAATAATTGCACAACCAACACCCGGTAAGTGGGTTGCTTCTTAGGGTCCACCTTATCGGGCTATTGTTGGTTACCGGGCATGATAATTGTTTATTTCTTATATATTTTCTAATCGCCTAATGATGCGTAATACACCTGGTGCTTATCTGTCAGAGCAATCTATAAATCGCTGACACATTGTTAAGTCGATCGCCTTCGATTTGGTCAAGAGTGAAGAGTATTGAAAATCGTATCTCGCTATCATTAGGAATTCCTTACACAAAATCAAGTTTCATTAGAGTGTTTATATTTTAGCAATTTCTTCATATACGTACATATATATACCACATATAGCATATTCATGCCATATACTTGTATTCTAAAAATCTGACGAAAACCCGTTCTGGTGTTCCCCACACTTGTTCTTTTTTTTACCAATGTCACATTTTTTGTTAGTATTGATCTAAGCCATATAGAAACAAGAAAACTGGTTTGTTTGTGCTTTTGTATTAATTTTTAGTTAAGACAAGAAATTTAATTAAAAATTAATCTTAAAGCACCGTTGCTTAAATACCCTGCTTAAATACCCTAGCATACCATTTATTCATTCCCCGAGCAAGCAATCAGTTTACATTTTATGCACTGTATTTGCTGCTGAACAATAATATTTTTAGATCGATTTAACAATCGGCTTTGCAACTATTTGCTCGCTATTGTTCATTGTACAAATCAGATAAGATTTGTGTGGGGTTCGTTGCAAATTAACTGACCAAGTAATTATACCCGAGAACAAGGTTAAAGTCAAAACAACAAACGAGTATTTTTGTTCAGACAACCCATCTGTAATTAATGGCAAACCTGTTCCGGACACTATTCATGGGTTATGTAATAAAAAGAAAAAATCTAATTCTGTGCGCGCGCAAATGCCAAAAACTCATTTTTAGAATGAAACCTTTTGTATTCCAATTTTTTTTTAAGAAACTTTCGACTACTGTTTCGATATTGTGTCAAGTCATCGTGAAGCTGCAGCCAAGAAATCACCCGGAAAAGCAGCCTGATAAAACGCCAAAGAGAAGTTCAGTAGCCTTTTATATGTGGTTTACATTTCGAGGTCAAACAAATTGAACTTTACAATTGTTGTCACACATAAGTGTATATATATATATATATATGGCTTGCTTGTCTTTGACGTTATCACTGCACATGTCATCTGTTATCACTTGGCCATCTGTTATCTATATTTCGTCGCTAAAGTTTCCTGATTTGAAAATTGCTTTTATTGCTGATCCTTTTTTGTAAAATTATCTGATCATTATCTTTCAAGATTTTTTTTAATACTAGTGCGTTGTTATCATTATAGTCCAAGTACGTTCTCCTATCAAGTATTCCATATGTATATATTTAACTACAGTGTTCACTGGAAAACTAAAACCTTTCATAAACCAACAATTTGTCATCATAGTTTATGATCTGGTTTCAATTTCACACTATTTTCACTATTTAATTTTGGATTTGTTTTCGAATGATTACTGTATCCTTGTTTTTATTTTATTTACAGTGGTTTTAGTCTCAAATTGCACTTTATAACTTTATTGTTTGTGCTTATCGCGCTTGTTTATAATAATAACTGAATAACTGCCCATGTGTGTGTGCGTGTGTCTGTGTGTGTATGCATGTGCGGGTGTTCTGTTAACAGCATAACAATAATTTCAGGGCCCTTTTTTCTTTTTCTTTTTTTGTTGGCACTCAGTTGGGTTTGAAGTGTACGTTAGTGACGTCATCGTGCTAAGTGTCTTAATGTCACAGCATAAAAACACGTATACGTTTATATGTATATATATATATTTTATGGATAATAATTCAAATAATGGTCGTGTGTCATTTCATTTGCCTTTATCAATTATAAAACCGCATTGAGCATGACCAAACAGAAAATCACACCGCAAATAAAAAAAAAACACACACAAAATTATGTTTGTAATTATCAAATTTTGCCGGCGGTGCCAGATCATTTAAATGATTAATGGAAAATCGTTAGGGGGCAAACCAAACATCGTTCTATGTTGATGTTGGCTGAAACCCTTTCAGAATACACTTATGGGGGGGAGGCGGCAGTATTTCACAATCTGTGTTAAATAACTTTCGCTCGCACTTGTTACGCTTGCGGTCGCGTCCGAATAACAACAGCCAGCATATTGCAACAACAACGATAAAAGTCACTTATAATTACCTCGGCGAATAAACTGCTGCTGCTGTGTGTGTGTGAAGCGACGGCTGGTTTTTATTTTCTTATTCGTTCCTTCGACCGGCTCGTGTCGAGCTAACAGAACCAACTGAATAGCAAACGCACTGCCCAGCAACTCTTATTTGTTTCTAATTGAAACGTGGGCCCTCTCTCTCACTCTCTTTCCACCAATACTAACGCACGCACTTAGTCAGAGCTGGCAATCGTACGACGTGAGCGTCAAACTAACTATTTCTGCCACTCTCTCTATGTTTTATGAATGAAAATCTGTGCTGCACTAAGCCGGACTTAGTATGTTAAAAGCGCACAACTGAGCTTGTCACATTGCAGTGCGCTCGCTTCTCGAGCATAGTTGGTGGTGCTTTTAGTTCTGCGCACACACACCTGCTGCCTTAATTGCCGAGTCATTGCTCATCGGCAATTTATACGCGCGCGCCGAAAGATACCAACAAAGAGAGCTGATAAGCGCTAAAGAGAGAAAGAGAAGGTGCTTATGAGTCGCACAGTCATAAAATAAAAATACATTGTTGCTTGATCAAATACTCGCTTAAGCGTTTTGCAACATAGTGCAGCCGATCAGTTATACCAAGCATACTAACAAGTATATACTTAGTATGGACATATGTATGTTTATGCTTACAACTGTTGTAATGTTAACCAGCTATTGGGAATAACAGTGACGTTCGACTTATGCTGTGTGAATCAAGCATGTGTCAAAATTCACAGTTAATGTTATTTAAATAGCAAGCGTGTTGAGTACTGTTTACAGAGATATAAATCCAGCACAAACAAATGCTCAACTTAAAACAAAAACCAACAAAACAATAAAAATAAACAAACAAATTCGAACGCACTCTTAATATTTTTCCAAAGAGTATTTGCTGTGTGTGTGTGTGTTCGTTGATTTTAATTAAAGTGTCTCAATTTTCTTTACATGTATTTGACACAAATATAAACAAAACGCCTTTCGAAAATTGAATAGGCAATTATAATGAATCGCCGTTCCGCAGCGCGGAGCTGGATCAGCGACGTCAATATCTGCGCCAGCTGGGCATCAGCCGGAATCGGGCTCATATCATGTCCATCGCCTCTTTTAAAGTGCCCGATTTCAATTTGGGCGACATTCGACGGCAAAGATATCGCCTGAGCCTGGAGGCCGGCGACAGTCGCCAGGCCGAGGTGGACGCCATCATTGTGCGCCAAATTACAGCCATGCTTGAGTTGCGGCCCGGTTTAAGGCACAAGGAGCGACCCCGAACTCCGCCGCCACCTCGTGACATCGATTGGCATGGTGAACTCGAGGGCTCACGCGATTTAAGGGATGTTGTGCCAAGGCAACGCGATGCAAGTCCGGAAAATGTTGGACTATTTCGAAGATTCGATGGCGACGATTGTGAACGAATCAATAGTTCTTGGCAGCGAAACGAAAACTTTGATCAGCGAAACGAAAATGTTCGCGATCGAAATGATCCTTTTCGAAATGACAATTTTCAACTTCGAAACGAAAATTGTCGTGGGCGGCATGAAAACTTTGATAGAGATGACAATATTCATGGGCACGTTGCACGATATGATAATGTTCGTGATCGAAACGATGATTATCGGGAAGTGGACAGATTCAATTATAACCATCCAAGATTTATGGATAATAATCGTAATCCAAGCATGGAAGATATTAATCTTAATCGTCGTCAAGAGCGATTCAGAGACGCTGAACCCATTATATATAGCAACCACAACAATCGTCAGATAAGTAATTCCAATTTTGGTTCAGATCGTCGTCAAGCAAGCCCTGAAAATTGTCCTGATGATAATTTTCGTGGCGAGCGTCGAAGAAGTTTCAGTAGAACTTTCGATGATTCAAATAGATTTAGTAGAAATTTCGATGATTCCAACAGTTTCGGTAGAAATTTCGAGAAATCCAACTTGAACGATTACGATGACGATTACCGAGCAGTTCCACGGAAGCTACACGAAGAAAACTATAGCAGAAATAGCCCGGAACACAGAAGGATGGAGACATGCTACCCCGATGACAGAAACGAACCACGATCTTACAATGAACGCAACGAAACTTATCGCGAGGAGGATTTCCGCGAGCAGCAGTCAGATTTGAGATCTCGTGGTTCCATTTTTGGGGAGTCATTTCATAATAATATTAGGAATGATGACGATCGATTTCAACGTATTGAAAATGCTGACAATTTTGCTTGTCGAAGCAATTTCGAAAACGATTTTAACGCAGAGCTATCAAATAGTTTTGATGACAGAAATGAAATTTTACTGTATAATCGAAATCAATATAATGCCGATTATAATGCTCTGTTAAATTTTGATGATCGTCTTGATTTTAATCAAGATTTTCGGGACAGGACGAACGGCAACCATAATAATAGCTCGACTGACTTTCAATCTGGCAATCAGTCCATCAATGATAACTTCAGAAGCTTTGACTTCTCAGAGCCCGACAGAAACATGATGCAAAGTGACAATCTGGATCTGGACGATCGTCATGAATTTAATCAAGATTTTTCGGACAGATCGAATTGCAACTTTATCCAATCTGGCAATCAGTCAGGCAATGATAATTTTAGAAGCTTTGACTTCTCCGGTCCAAGCACAGACCCGATGCAAAGCCAACTTCAAAACCGATATTCCCAACAGTCAATGAAACAGGCTGGAAAAAAATCGCTTAATCGCGCAAATCAAATGAAACAAAAACAGCAACCAAATAAACAATTCGCTGCCAATCTATTTGGCAACAACAGATCTAAAGGCCCAAACCCAAATAAGCCAAGTACAACGCAAACACAGAATTTGCAGCATCCACCAAATCGAGCTGCCAAATGGCCACTGCTGGCTGCCCCAACGGGCCCCAGGAATAGGTTTAATCAATCCAATATTAATGATAATGGCACAAATTTGAACGGGCCATGTACATGGCAAGCTGCTCATCAGATTAGGCAGCAGCAACAGAAGCTGCCATTAAAACCATTCGGAACTGGTAAATTACTTTATAAGTATATTATAAAGTCTTAAGGCACTTGAGCATGTTTTTCATTGATTTCAAGTTCGATATTGACTTTAAAATCGTTTTTCCATCATCGATTCAAAAAATCTTTAAATATGCAAAATCAGTTTTATATTTTCTCAATAAATTTATTTTAAATCGATATTAAATCCCATTTTTCTCGAGCAAAACGTTAACTTTCAGGATTTTACTTCTCAACCTCAACACTTATCCGAATAAAATTCCATTTCAAAAAATCAACTTTTTAATTCATTATTAAATACCAGTTCTCTCGAGCCAAACTTTAACTTTAAAGATTTTACTGCTCAACCGGATATATATCGTATATGTATAGAATTATTATATGTATAGAATTATATTCCATTTAAAAACCCACATAAATGTTTAAGTGCCAGACAAAACCAAAAAAAAAAGTGTAAGAAAAATAGAGTAGGTGTATAGTGCAATTATTTTTGCAGCCCAAAAGCGTAGAGCAGAGTCATCACATCCGGGAGCGCCAACGAAAGCAGAGATCAAGAGACGTAAAATGGCGGAGAAGCGAGGATTCCTCATTGGTGGCCACAAGTTGCCGTACATAAATCGAAGTGGGAAATTATTGCCGCAGCCCGAGGATACATCATATGCGGTCACATTTTTCGAACATGAACCGATCTACAATACATCCATATACGCCATAAACAACGACGAAATGGGCCCAATGACAGACATCGACGACGATGAAGAGGACGAGAATACGGATGAGGAGGCAACGGACAATGGGCCAACGGGCATCCTGAGGGTCGCACTTAGGAAACATCATGCCATCCGAAAGAAAATCAACATGGCCTGGACCAAGCTCTATCGATCGAGCAACTTTAAATGCTGGCCCACCTGGTGGAAGGCCTACAAATGGTGTGAGCCGGAAATGAATCGACAACTGGAGAAGTTCGGTTCACTCAATATCCGTCAGAAATTTCTACCCATTTATCCAAAAAAATCCACTGCTCATGTCATCAATATGGTGATGAAAGCAGCACATTTCGCCCTGGAGGAAAACACAGGATCGCATTATCGCAATGCGAAGGCTCTCTATGTGGTGATGAATGAGACGTTCCTGGAGAATCTCTCATTAGACGCCATGGAGCAGCTGCAGGACATGATACGGGGTGCTCCAAATCATTTGTGGGTGTACAAGATGCGCAGCACGGTCTATCTCTGGGCAGAATACCATAAAATTATAAACGCAAAACCGCGAAATGAACGTAACTTTGTGGCCATCCATGCCCAATGGAAGAGTCCCGTCTTCCATTGGATGTGCAAGCAGGCATTCGATGAACTGAAGGTGGGTCAATTGGCACACATCTATATCTATTCTATATATTATTAATGCTCTGCTTTTTTTGATGCAGGCCATTAGTGCCATTGAGTGGAGCGATCACAGCACAGAGTACCCACATCTGGAATCAACTTTATAGATTTTGGGCTTATCTTTAATATATATGCATTCTGTATTGTAAATTATATATACTTAATTGGAATAAAGCTTCAGGAGATTAATGAAACATTAATCATTAAAATGTTATACAAATATAGGTTAACCAACAGCAACAAATCATTAATTTGTTTGAATTGTTTGTGTATTTGAATTTGGCGCCTGCATAATATAATTATCGTAGTGTTAGTTGATTGAATTGTAACTACATTTTCATAATATGTTAAATGCATTTCAATTGCAGCCGCCAGTGTTAACAGCGCTCTCTTTATGCGGCGCACAACCTCTACAAAGGGCGCTCGCTGATCTACCGGTTACTGTTTATTTGATCTATTTAAATGTTATGCAAATATTTTTGTTGGCAGCAGCAAGCAGCCGACTGTTGCTTATTTAATCTATTTGAATTTAATACAAATATTGTTGGCAGCAGTAGGAGCAACAAACCGTTAATTTGCATAAATTGTTTGTATATTTGAATTTGACGCCCTGCGCATTATGATATAATATAATATATATTATAATATAAGCCGCCAGCGTTAACAGTGCTGTCTCTGTACAAAGCACGCTCGCTGATCTGCTCTCTGTTATGAAAATAAATTGAGGGTATTATTTTGAATTAAAGCTACCAAATGGCTTAAATACTTTGGTGTAAAATTAATATAATTTTATTTATTATTATTATTTGTGTCATGCTTTATTTTATTATATGTATTTAAATTAATTATTTCCTACTCCATTTCGTTGTCAGGCTACTGTGTGAAAAGCTTTAAGCTGAATAGCAATGAGAAGTTCTTCATTAATGTTTGCGTGGCTCCGGAAGTGCCGGCACCGAAAGATGTCACCGATGAGGAGCTCATTGCTATTTTGGAATCGACCAAGCCCGGCTCCTTTCGTGTGCCCATGAGCATCTCCGAGATGCGCACCACCAAGGATCGTTCGGACAACTCGGTTGAAGTTTGCGACATTGCCATTAATCCAAAGTTCTTGGCGAAAACTAAAAAATCGCAACTCTTCAATAATTTCTTTCTGCAAATCGTCGCCGAGGCGCTGAGCGAGAAACACAACATTCAAATATCCATGGAAAATACCATCATATTGACCAATCGCAAATTCATTGGCACCCTTGTCGCCCATCGTGTGCGCAACGATGATGTGAAGCAGGCCGAGAAATTTGATATTGCCATCGATTCCTCGGACTTCCCGCAGGTGCAGCTGAAGCAAGACAAGCAGTCCTCATCCAAGCCGGCCTCATTGGTGCAGGAAATCGATGAGGAGCATGCGGCCAAAATAAGGAATAGCTGGGCCAAAAGCAGGGAACCCATTTACAAGTTGCGTGCCCGAGTTCGTGATGAAATCGTCGATGAAATCCGTGCCGAACTCTATTTGCCCAATTGCGTGAGTGTTTATATTATACCAAAGACTACAGAGATACCTATATACATATATCTCTCTGTACAATTTATATAAAATTTCTCGATATACTCTATATTATATAGATATATATAGGTATATTTATATTCTTTCATTATGCTTACCAAAAATAACAGACTTTGTAGAATAATTTTTAGTAGTTGTTTCATCATCATAAATATATTATATATACATATATACTATAAATAGATATATAACAAGAATACTTACGGTTTTTTTCAGGTTTCCTCCCAAGAATTTAGCCTAGACATTGGCGAAGATCGTATTTTGATCGAGTCACAGAAGCATGGCTATTTTTTTGACAAATTTGTTAGCTATCGTTTGAATCAGGAACGTGCCCAGGCGCTTTTTGATAAAACCAGCAAGGTGCGCAGATTTTAAATTACAATTTCTATCAGTATTCTATAATCTATATATTTGGTTATTTTCAGATGCTTCAAGTACGCATTCCGGTTCTGAGCAATTAATTCCTGGAACTAAAGGCTACCAAAAATTTAAAATTTGGAATTTTAGTATCTTAAAAATAAATATAATAAATAAATAAGCAAACATGATGAGCAATGATCAAAATGTTAAATATTTATCGTTACTATTTTATTGCATTTTTTAAACTGTTGAAGTACTTTTCCAGTTGTAAGTTGCAAGCTACAGCAGCATGTAAACTAATAAGGACGATTCACAATGAATTGTGTGAATTGAAACTATCGAGTGCCAGTAAATTGCATCAGCACAGCCGATATTTGGAACCGATTAACAGCGCTTGGGCATATTTGCAGTGTTAATATACAAGATGCTACATGAAATAGTTTGCAAAATGAACAGGTTTTCAAAAAGGGGTTGCATGGTAATTTTTCCAGCCATTTCAAATAACAAAACCACTCATCTGACCTGCAAAAAGGGCAAAGAGGCTGCACTGCTACTGTGGTGAATTTTCGCCAGTTCACAAGCTGAACGGTACCAGTTCCGACTTACACCATTTTTTTTACGTTTCCCAACCCTTGATCACACATACCTGTGAGCGTTTGCGTGAGCGTGTGTGAGTGCGTGTCTGTCAAATGTGAAAATAAAATAATTCAGAACGGCTTCGAGCAGCAAACGTCGAGTAGAAAACAGAAAAAAAAGTAGAGAAATATAAACTAAACGTGAAAAGCCGTTGCAATTATTGCGTTGTCGTCGCGTAATATTTAGTGGAACGAGCAGCGCCATGGATTATAATAGATACAGCGCCTACGGCATTGGACAGCGTCGCCAGCCCAATGATGCGTTGTCTTTTGCGCCAATTCGTAGTGGTAGTGGTGGAAGCGGCGGTGGTGGTGGCAATGGCAATGGTGGCTCTGCTGCTCTCGATGATAATTTTCGTGGAGCGTCGCTGTCGATGAATTACGGCAAGAACAGCAATGATTTTAACATTAACAGTCAACGCTATGCAGATATTGATGGCAACAACAAATATGGAAGCGTGCAATCAAATAATCATTTTGGCGGCGGTGGTGGTGGTGGCGGTGGCTACTCAAATTTTACCAACAAAAACAATCAACGCTTTGGTAACAACAACAACCACAACACCAAAGTCAACAGTCGCATTGAAAACTACGACGATCATTTTCGTGGAACGCAACAACAACAACAATCGAGTTTTTTAGGACGCAATTTAGATCAGCGTTTTGCATTGAGTGAAAAAATCTCACGCAATGTTGCAAGCAATCTGGATTATATGCCACCACAACAACAGCAAACACAACTGTCAGCTAATATGGGCTTTGTTCGTTCCCTAAGCGATTTAAACAGCTACAGCAGCAACAATAACAATAATAACAGCAACTACAACAACAGCAACAACAACACTGACAACAATCAACGTTTTTACCCAAATAATAATAATGAACGCAACATTGATTCGTTTGTGCGACGTTCCGATAATTTCAATGACAACTTTTGCGGACCGGACTCGAATCTGAGTCAACAATCGAAGCATTTGAGTCGCAACCCTGGCTCTTCCAATTACGTGAAAGAGCGCTCCAACCCTGGCGCCTCCAATTACAAGCTGAATAATTTAAATGAACGTTATAATAATGGAGGCAACTTTGGCTACAACGAGCGTGGCTTTGACTGCGATTTTCGTGGCCAGCAGCAACAATCGAACAACAGTTATGCGACCAACTTTGACAATAAAAGCCACAACAATAATAACAACAACCACAACTATAGTAACAATTCCAACAACAGCAACAACAATCGAAGCAATCCGCAGCAGTTTCGGCGCCTGAACAATACTGGCGATGCGCTGGTCATGCTGGAAACCGTCAAAGCATTGATGATGAAGAACCAATCCAACTCGCAGGTCGGCAACAATAATTGCGGCTTTGGACAGGGCGGTCCGCCGACTGGCGGCATTCGCAAATGGCATCCAGATAATCAGAGCGGACAAAAACCGAATATGCCCATGGCCCATGCGAACAATCGGCCACAGATGCCTAATATGCAATCCAGGCCGCAAAGGCAGTTAAACAACAACAGCAACCACAACAACAACAACAACCATAACAACAGCAACAACAACAACCATAACAACAGCAACAACAACAATGGTAATATGCCACAAGCACCCATTATTGGCGCCCGTAAGCCACCAGCCGGCGCCAATAAGTTTCCGGGGAATAGACTTCAGAATCCACAACAACAGCAACAACAACAAAAACAACATATTAATAATCCAGCAAACAGGATCAACAACAGCAACAACAAGCAGCAACTGGCTGGCAACCAACCAGCTACCAAGAACATTAATGGTGGTAATAATAATGTTAAACCGAAACCAGTCCAAGTGCCGCCCAAAACCGTTTGTCCCCTCTCCTCCGGCGCCGTCGTGTCCCAAAATACTCAAGCAAAAAGCGCCAACAATAAACAGCCGGAGATCAAGAAAGAAACGATCGATGTCAAACCTAAAGGTAAATACGAAAAAGGAACAGATAACTTTGAGCTTAAGGGGAAATTAAAAAAGAGATTTATTTAAAGTCGAGTAATATCAAAAAAATGCAAAAAGCAGAAAATTAAATTTAACAACTAAATTTAAATATAAAAAAAGGGGAAAAATGGGGAGCGATGTGCATTATAAGGATATACTGAAGAAAATTATTTTGTAGAAAGAGTTGTAAATTCTGATCTACTAATTTAAATTTAACTACAATTTTTTTGACTTATTATGTATGGGAAATATAGAAGAAAAGTTGTCCATTTCTATTATTAAAAGCTAAATTTTAATTTTTTTTTGTTCTGATTGTGTTTATTCCTTGGTTCTCCAAAAACCATTCAGCATGAAATTTTGATAAACTTTTGCTTAAATGAAAAGTTGAATGAAGGTAGTTATAGATTAGTTTGCTTTAGATATTATATTAGTTCTTATTTAACTATTGCACTAACAAATCTTGTTTACAGTTGCAGGTCAAAAGCGTGTCGCTGAAATACCCACAGCACCGCTCACCAAGGCGGTCATCAAGCGTCGCAAGCTGGCAATTAAGCGAGGATTTTTACTTGGCGGCTTCAAGTTGCCGTATATACACAATAATAAGATTACCCATCCGCAGCCGGAGGACAAGTCGTATGCCGTCATGTTCTTCGAGCAGGCGCCCAATTATAGCACGAGCGGTGAGGAGCTGGACGACATGGAAATGGCCGAGATTCAGGATAGTGAACGGGATGGCAAAAATGTTGGACGCACCTTAGTTAAACGGATTCGCAAGCGTCTCCACCACGAGTGGACAATTATGGAGGAGGCGAAGACATACAAGAGCTGGCAGACCTGGTGGACGGACTACAAGTGGTGTGAGAATGCGATCAAGGAACAGCTCCAAACATTTGGCAGCATCAATCTGCGCAATTGCTTTATACCCGATTTGCCGCGTTTAACCACCGAACAGGTGGTCGATTTTATCGTTCAGCAGGCCCAATTTGGCTTGGAGAAGAACTCGGATAACTATTATAACAACATGAAGTCCATTTTTACATTGATGAACATAACGTTCTTGGAGAACCTTAAGATGCCCAACACCGAGAAGGTGCAGGAAATGATACGCGCCGTACCCAACGAATTCTGGTCGTACAAGATGCGCAGCATGGTCTATTTGTGGGCACAGTATCTAAAAATCTCAAAGACCTCGTCGCCATCGACGGAAATTGGCGCCAAGGAGCTGCAGGCCATTGAGAGGGACTGGAAGAATCCCCTATTCCATTGGATAGCCAAGCAGGCATTCGACGAGCTCAAGGTGACTATATCAATATTAATTAGATGGGGATTTCATATAAATTAATGCTCAAATCTTATTCATCTTCACAGGCAATTAGCGAGGTGGAATGGCCGGAGCACAATGAGCTTTATGCAAATCTGGAATCATCTGCCCCAACATCTTCCTAGAGAAATACACATGTGTGCTTGTATGCATTTCCCAATCCCCAAAACTGATTTGAATATATATACATAGACAAACTTCTATTTGTTATGTGTTATGTTTTTCAACAATCACAAAAACCAACGTAAACACAAATTGTAATTGAGAATAAAAGAAATCTAAATAAATGCATACATACCATCTAAAATAGAGTCTTGTAGAGATATGTGTTTCATATGATTGGCGAGATTGTCACAGTTACATAATTCACATGTAGATCGGAAAATGTGCATGTGTTTATCTAGATAAATATAATTACTTATAATTATATATTCTCCAATAGTAAAGATTTAATTATTAGTCTGAGAATTGCGAGATTTTTAAAGTTATATAATATATTATTATGTGTTTGTCTAGGCTTAAGTGCACACTCTCCAATAGATCTCGATAAATATTTATTTTTGGTCTGAGAAAGAAAAAACAGAACCCATTCCAAATGCAGATTTTTAGCAATTTTATTGCCTCTTTTACTCAACTATCTTTTTTTCTTCCAATTACAAACGAATTTTTGGATTAACAATCAAAATTATGTATGATTATTTAATCAATACATGTGAAAGGCTTTAAGCACCCAGTTGCTTATAGAGAATGGGCACATAGTCATCATATTCGGCCTGGTAGAAATTGCCGGCAATGGGATCGCCAAGAGCGTATTTCTTGGCAAAGGTGGCAATCTTGAAGCCGCCGCGTCCGTCGCCACTGTTGTTGGGCAAACGCTTCTCATCAAAGTCCAGTTTGCGCCGTTGCTCGTAGACCAGGAAGACGTAGCGATGCAGCCCTGTCTCTGGCGGTGGTCCTGAACCGACGTAGGCGGAGAGAACTTCGCCCTTGGCTACGTCACTGCCAGGAATGTTGCCAACGAGCCAGTGATGCCACTCCCGAAACTGGGGATCCTTGCGACTGGGTGCATCCGGATCGGTCATACAGAGCGTATACAATTTCGAATTGTCGGCTTCCCATTTCACACAGGGTTGATCTTTCACCTGGGTGGGAGTCAGTACCATGCCGGCTTTTACAGAAATACCGCCATCATATTCAACTGAAACGCTGCACTTTGGTGCCTTGGCGATCACATCGGGCACAATGCAATGCTCCTCCATGCTGCTGGCGATAGATTTACTCGAATAGCTGCGAATTGATTTAATTGTCTGAGCAGACAATTGCAAAATGGCGTAAATTTTTCGATCTGGCTTTGTTGTTGCAGTTCGAATGGAGCTTGGGGCATTTCCATTGACAGCTGTCACGTTGGCAGCCCTAGTTATGCGATTCCATTGCGAAGCTGATGGATATTTCAGAATGCAGCGCCCAAGTCCGCAGCGTGCTATATTCATATTGGTTGATTTTGTCTGCTCGGAAACCAAATTATAAGTCTAATTAATATTTAATACTAATTTCTTGCAAATATTTTAAAGTTGGCAGCTCTGCCACTCACGTTATCGATTGTTTTCCGAAAATGTTAAGGTCACACTCAATTTATATTACTCGAAAAAAATTGGCATTAGATTTCGAAATTTGTTAATGTGATTAAAAATACAGAGTACGATAATAAAAAAACAAGTAGATTGGCAAGGATAATGCTTATATTATATACAATTTAATCGAATACCCTTTTCAGAAAAGAACATCAATGTTGGTCAATCTTCCACTACAATGCTAGGGACTTAATTTATGAATGTTTAAATTAACAAAATGAAGCAACAGTCAATGGGAAATATGGTGAATATGGTTCCACACATCATTGTTTTTTTTTTTCTTTTTGGTTGGTTTGGTAATATTGTTCGCTTTGGGTCTCAAGTTAGAGCTATGGGAGATAACTAAACTTGATGACGCTGTTTGCGTCATGCCTTGCGAAAGATATCGCCGGAACCGTAAGAGTAGCGTCGCTGATTCTTCAGACTATTGCTGACTAGGACCTCCTCATCGAACTGAGAGACTCGCTGCATTTTCGGACGCATCAAACCGCGCACATCGTTCAGCGTGATATCAATATCCTTAAACGCATTCAGCATAAATACGGCCGTGATCACAATCAGAAAGCCACAAATATCGCCGAGAATATTTTCGAAACGCATATCCTTGAATTCCTTCAGAAGTATGGCAGATGCCGTGATCACCAACGTAGTGAACATCACATAATAAACGGGTGTAACAATGCTCGTATTGAAGATGTCCAGTGCCTTGTTCAGATAGTTCATCTGTATCGCAATAAAGGTGACAGTGATGACAATCAGAAACCATGGCATCCACGTCGAAAACACATTCGACCCATTGGCAATTGTGCTCCGGATGGCCAGGCCCAGTGCCTTGCACGACATCACCGTTAACGAACCGATGCCGGAGCATAGGAATAAGTAGACACAAACATTGGTGTGTCCATGCTGCGGTGCCACAAAGCAGGCAACGAATGCACTCGAGCCAAATATACAGATGACATAGAGTATAAAGACCGGTTCCTGCAGCATATCGAACAGCACCTGCAGATCCTCAATCTCCTTGTCCTTGGGCGAGTGTATCACTATTATCGTTGAGCCCAAAATGCACAGAAAGCAACCTATTTTGCCCAACAAATTGAGCTTTTCGTTAAGGAATCGGGATGCCATCACAGCCGAAATGATGACACTCAGTGCGCCCAGGGGCGTCACCAGCGAGGCGGGAGCAAACGCATACGCCGTAAAATTGGCTGCCTCGCCAAGACCCACTGCAAAAAACAGATATCAAATGAGTCACTGTTATCAAGGTACGATTTGGGGATTTCAAGTTAAAACGTTAATAATTTTAATTGATAAAAATAAAATATATGTATTTCTAAACGATTTTATAATCTGCAGAAATTTTTTAGTGATTAACTTACTTGTCAAGAGACCCGCCCACCAGATCCATTCACGTAAATAGCCAAATCCACCTGCTGCCGCCCGCACCTCGCCCTGCCTGCTTATACGCAGCAGGGCCTTCTTTTTGATGATAAAACTAGATCCGATGAAGAAGCATGAGGAAATGGCCAAACCGACACCGATGTAAAAATCCGTATACGAATATGGCTCCGTTAATGCTGATGAGGGCGTGTCTACGGCAACTGAGGCGGGGGACATGTTGTGGGCACTTAGCTGTTGGCCCGTAGGCAGTAATGAGGCTTCGTTATTCATTTTTCACTGCTCGTTTTTTGTTTGCTCTTCGTAACCGCAACTCTCTAGAAGAGACTAACCCAAAACACAAACACAATCAAAATACAAGCGTAAAAGTGCACACAAACTCATTCTCTAATCAGCAGAGTCCGCTGTCTGCATGACTCACACTCTCCCAGCGAGTCTGGCATACGGTTCTTAACACATTTGACTTGTGGCACTTTTCGCATTTATTATACGCTTTACTTGACTTCATTTAAGAAAACATACTTGTTTATTGTTGGGCCATGCAAATATTATAGATGCAACAAACACAGAGAAGAGCGTCCCACTTTGTTTTGTTTGCGCTGCGATTACAAAATCGATTGCCTTCCGCTAGGGCTGCAGTGCTACCAATTTGCATATTGAGTTATCGAATTTAATATTTCAATAATCTCGATAGTTGTCTTAAATAGTGCGGTAAGCAATAACTGATTAATTAAAATTAATAAAAATTTATTTTGCCGTTGTCGAAAACATTTCCAAACTGCATTTGATAAATAACTTGTCAAATTCCGTTTAAAATTTAAAAAAAAAAAAACCGCCAACCATTATAATTGCTGAAACATCTTTGTGCGCGCTGTTAATAACATTTCGGCAAATGTTACTGCATTTGGATCCCCAACAGCTGTTCAGTAGTGTCTCAAATAAGTTTGTTTTTGACGGAGGTGCACGAAAAGTTATACATGGAAGAAGTGTGCCGCGCCTGCATGACCAGTACAGTAGCATTGCTGAACATATTCGCCGATCAGCAGCATCCCAGTTTGGCCGACATGCTCAACGAGTGCGTCGCCTGTGCGATCAAGTTGGAGGATGAGCTTCCCAAGAAAATCTGCCTTGCGTGCATCTGCGATGTGAAAGCAGCATTTGAATTCAAGCGCAGATGTGAGAAGAGCCATCAGGTGCTGAGCTCACAATTAAGAAAAGGTGAGATGAAGCTGGAAGCGCCAGAAGAAGACATCCACCCGGAACCGGAGCATTTGATAAATGAGGAATGCGACACAGAAAAAAGCAGTAAAAGGGATGAATTGTCCCATATCCCGGATTCTGAACCAAGGCAAAAAGAAGCTGATGTGCAGTCCGAACTATTGATAACAGAAAACTGGGAGCTGGCTGAGAGCGATATAGATCTGGGCTGTGTCAAGGTTGAACATGATGAAGACATTATCAACGAGCAACAAAAGGAATCAAGTGCAACAGCTCCCCCCAAAGAACTGAGCACTATCGCATCCGATGCCAAAAAGAGTCAGTTTTTGTGTCCACACTGTGCGAAAAGCTTTACGCAGAGTTCACATCTGAATGCTCACATTCGTACGCACACGGGAGAAAGACCCTATAAGTGCCCGCACTGCCCCAAGGCCTTCAGTCAGGCCTCCAATTTGCGCAAACACATATGCATCCATTCGGGAGAGCGTCCCTTCAAGTGTCCACACTGTACGCGAGCATTTACACGGCACACGGATCTTCAGTATCACATTTCCACGCATCCGGGCAAACAGGTGTACAAGTGCACCCACTGCACCAGGTATTTCATCGAGCAGAGTGAACTGGACGAGCACATGCGCTATCATAATGGCGAAAGGACGTACAAGTGCACAGATTGCTCGAGGGAGTTCTCCTCTGCCTGGCAACTCCAGCGACATATTCGCACCCATACCGGCGAACATCCGTTCAAGTGTCCGCACTGCCCGAAGAATTGTATAGACAAAGGCGATCTGGGCAGACACATCCGATCTCATACCGGGGAGCGTCCATATAAGTGTCCACACTGCCCCAAAGCATTCACCCGGGCCGCTTATCTCAAATCACACATTAGCACTCATCCGGAAATTCTCATTTAAGTTAAATACTCTACAGAAATCCCTCCACTTTCAATAATAATAAATGAGATCTGATCTGATTTTCGCAATTTTTTTATACTAAAATAGTTATAATTGTAAACAAAATTTTAAAAAGATTCTTATAGATTATACATTTTCGTAGTATAAAAATGAAATAAGCAATCATCGTAATTTGATATAAATTGTATATTATTAAAAGTGTGTAATAATAAAATAAAATAAACAATCATTGTAATATTAAATTCAATGCGTACTATAAATTAATTGAAATAAATTATTTAAAAATAATATCTATAATAAAAAAAAAATATATATATATCTAATCAAAAATAAATAATACTAAAAAGTGGTGCACACATTTAATAAATTAAACAAAGATACGTTTTAAAACAATTTTAATAAACGATAACACTATTTGAGCTTATTAAAAGTATCGATATAAAACCAGTGTTAGCATCGATGACATTGCAATGATAACATGAGAAGAAAAAGTGTTGGCGATTGACTGCACTTAACAAATTCACTCCTGTTGCCTGCACGTAATCAAAACAAATAATAGCCCCAAAATGGACGCCAGATTAGATGTAAGTAATTGAGAGCAAGTGAAAATGTAGCACTTTAACACGATTGATACACGTTTCACAGATGTTTGAGGACGTCAACACGTCGCCGTCGCTGGAGGGCGATATGTCCATACCCGGAAAACGGAGAACGACAACAACAGCAACCGCCCAGAATGGAGTGCCAGATTACAATACGCTGGACGAACCGATACGCGAAACTGTGCTGAGGGACATACGCGCTGTTGGCGTCAAGTTCTATCATGTGCTCTATCCCAAAGAGAAATCCAGTCTGCTGCGAGATTGTAAGTGTCTGCGTTGAGTTTGTGTGTGCGTCAGCAGTTTAACTTTTGTGTGTCTTTTCTCAATTTCTGCTTGCTTGCAGGGGATTTGTGGGGCCCGCTGGTGCTGTGTACTTTTATGGCGACCATTCTGCAGGGCTCCTCGTCAGCTGACAGCATGTCAGACAATGGCCCAGAATTTGCCCAGGTCTTTGTTATTGTGTGGATCGGTGCCGCCATTGTAACACTCAACTCCAAACTGCTCGGTGGCAATATGTGCGTAGCTTTAGCTCAAATTTGTGAATTTTGTGTTTAAGTAACTCTTTTTTTCTCTTTAGCTCATTCTTCCAGTCAGTTTGTGTGCTTGGCTATTGCCTGACGCCGGTGGCGCTCGCCTTGATCATCTGTCGCATCATTCTGCTGTCCACGCAGACACGCTTTCTTTTCTTCTTGCGCTTTGTGACCACAACGCTGGGATTCTCCTGGGCAACGTATGGTGAGTGATTCTCATTCACGAGTTTAAATTGCCCATTTAAATTACATATTTCTTGCAGCGTCTTTCATCTTTCTGGGTCAAAGTCAGCCGCCACATCGCAAGCCGCTTGCCGTTTATCCGATTTTCTTGTTCTTCTTCGTCATATCGTGGCTGGTTTTGTCGCATAATTAGTACTTCAACTTTCCATAGCATAACCAAAATTGTAAATTTAATATTTAATTTGAAAACTGTGACCACGCCATTTGTTTAAGCTAAACATGTTGTTTCTTTTCAATTTTTGTTTATTTTATTCTTAAGATCTTACAAATTACATATGTATCGAGTGTGTTTGTTTTTGGCTGACTAAGCGGAACTACACGTCCAGGCTATTTGCCGCCGAGGCCACCTCGAGGGACATTTGCATTTGGACGCCATCGCCCTTGGTGGGGCGATACGTCAGCGAATTGGCCCGCGCCTTGCGTCCCATAAAATGCCGTTCCACCCACTTGAGCAGCGTGTAAACGGAATCAGTCGAGGGCAAACGATGATCGGCAGCGGTTTTCACAATATCCGACGTAGTCACACGGAACGTGCGCGCCATGCCTTTAAGAGCCTGTTTAAAAGAGGATTAGAGTTTTATGATTATTAAGTTCCAATTTACGACTCGATTATAACTACTTACCACCATGGCATCCTCATCGGTTAGATCGTCGCCCACGTAGATAATCTTGATGCGCTCATTCCAGTCGACGCCAAACGATGTGCGCAATATATAAATGGAGGCACGACCCTTGTTCCACTGTACCGGTGGACGGGCCTCGAGCGCACAATGTGCTTCCGTTGCCCGGAAACCGTATTTCTCGATCAGGCTGCGCGCCTTTTCGACCATTGCGGGACGCAGCTGCGTCGGCGTCTCTCGATAGTGAAAGGTGAGCAGAGCACCTTTGTTTTCGACCCAGGCGCCGTCACGGCACACTGAATCCTGCAGCGCTTTGAGCAGATGACTGACCTTGTCCTCATACTCGATAGGCATGGGATGCACAAATTTACTGCCATCGGGATGGAGAATCTCTAAGCCATGGTTTCCCGCATAGGTGATGCCCTCGATGCCGACCATTTTCTTCACATTGTCCACGTTGCGACCCGAAATGACGGCCACATACACATCCGAGTGATTGGAGAGCTTGAAGAGCACGTTCTTAATCTCCGGCGGAAGAGTGGCCAAATCCGGATGCGGCGCAATCGGCGCCAGAGTGCCATCATAGTCCAGCAATAACGCCAGCTTGTGATTATAGCCGATGTATCTACAAATATAGATTTAATTTAAGAATTTTTAAGAGACTTCAAATACTTAAGTTGTATATTAAAAACTGATTATTTCTCAATCTATAAATATATATACCTTAAGCATCTTAAGTAGAATTCAAGGTAAACTTAAGTTGGATATAAAAGAGTTATTTGTTTTTGTTTCAAAATAAAATCGAATATTGAGCTTAACAATTGATACATCAATTAATCAAACAATAATAGTAAAATAAGTCAATTTGCAAAAGTACAATAACATTTAAAATAAGAACAAAATTTCTATAATTAAGATCCAACTAAGATTTACTTTATCATAATTTAGAAATTAAGTAAAGATTGGATTCAAGGTAAACTCACTTCAGTAAGTAGTCATCAAAGTCGTCTACGGAGACGGGTTGCATGATGGTGGTTCCGACGTCGTCCATCTCGAGAGCACCCACTGCCTTGAGGAAACAGCGCATCCAGTGGCTGACATCGCACTCGGCCTCGCGACGACGGAGTCGCGCCATGCGCAGGATGCGCTCATCCTCGGGCATGGTCAGAGCACGATGAATGACCTCGGCGGCCTCATTTACCTCGTACGGATTGCAGAGCAGCGCCTCGTGCATCATTTCGCCGGCACCGGCAAAGGGTGAGATGACCAGAACGCCGGGCACCTCATTGATCTGGCAGGCGACAAACTCCTTGGCCACCAGATTCATGCCGTCCCGAAGGGGCGTCACCAGACACACGGCCGCATCCCGATAGAGCGCCGCGAGCTCATCCTGACTGACATAGTCATAGATGTAGCGAATGGGCGCCCAGTTAGCCGTGGTGAAGCGTCCATTAATCCGTCCGACCAGCTGATCCACCTCCTCCTTCAGCTCACGATATTCCTTGACATCGGTGCGCGACGGCACCGAAATCTGCAGCAGACTAACCTTCTCCTTGTGCTGCGGATACTTCAGTAGCAGTGCCTCAAATGCCATCAGGCGATGCACCAAACCCTTCGTGTAATCCAAACGGTCCACACCCAAGATGATCTGTTGTTTGGACGTCTTTAGCACTTTGGGCGCATTCTGTGCCAGATTGACAAACCGCTCGTAGGGTATCCCAATGGGCAGCGGTCGAACGCGAACGGTGCGTCCACCGTGCTCCACCAGCAGATTGTTGCGATCGACGCGACAACCGAGCGTACGCTGACAGCAGTCCACAAAGTTCAGGCAATAGTCCTGAATGTGAAAACCAACCAGATCACAGCCGAGCATGCCCTGCAATATCTCATCGGACCACGGCAATAGCCGGAAGATGTCCCACGGCGGGAAGGGTATGTGCAGGAAGAAGGCCAAACGACATGGTAGATTCTTCTCCTCAGCATGCTCACGCACCCAGTTGGCGGCCAACATTAGATGATAGTCGTGTATCCACACAATTGGTGGATTCTTGTCGCTGCCATTATTCTTAGCCAGGCACTTCTCCAGTGCCTCAATTGTGCGCACGGCGAAAAACTTATTAACCGTCACATAATCGCGCCAATGCTCGCCACCAAAATTGGCGCGTCCCGGCATCGAGTGGAACAAAGGCCAGAAGATCTTATTGCAGCAGCCATTGTAGTAGCTATCAAAGATCTTTGAATCGATGTTCACCGACACGACCTGATCGGATTTGAGGCCAGCTGTTGGCGTCTGATCGTAGGGATTCGATTCGGGTATCGCCTCATTGGGATCCTCCAAGTGGATGCCAGACCAGCCCACCCAGAGACCACTGCCCTTGATAACCACCGGACAGACGGCCGTAACAAGACCGCCAGCACTATAAAAAGACGAAAAAAAACCTTCAAGTTATTTGAAAACAAATGATAATCAAATTGCAAGTATTTGAAAACCGTTTATTCGAATTTGCTTATGCAAAAATTGATAGTTAAGGTATCGAGCGCAGTATCGATATCAATGTTATTAACTACTTTATAGGTTATCGGGATGTTGGACTGCCTTTGTATATTTTCAAAAAGAATAGTGCAAGCTTTTACATTGTTGCAGCAATAATAAGTAAAGATTTTCATTGCATGTTGTTTGATTTTTTGAATGTGTGTGCAAAAAGTGTGCATACCTATTGATACATATATATAATATATATATAAATGTATATATACATACATATAAATATATATTTATGTATATATATATATATATATACAAAAGCTTCTGTGTTCGAGCCCCAGGCCCACTTTACCACAGGGTGCATCACAATGACACTGACACTTAAGGCACTGATAAGCAGGAGCCATAAAAAAATGAGCGCCTGCCTGATACGGCACAAGTGTAAACAACCTCGACTCTGGCCGGCTCTGGCTTAGAGGCCGAAACCAGCAAAAAAATAGAAAGAGCAACCCCATTATGAAATAGCAACAAAGTTAAAAGGCGAATTCCAAAATGGAAACCGTTTCCCGGTCTATTTGTTTTTTGGCTGGGGTCAGTTCAGTTGGTTTTGAAACCCACCCAGCGAGTTAGGTGCACGTGCTCTTGTGTTTGTGTTTTTTCAGTGTCAGGTTCGCAGCTTTGCGATATGAAAAGCGTTAAAGTGACGCCTCTACTATTGACCCCTTTATATGCAACATTTCGTCGTAGTTTTTGTCGTCGTCAGGCGGCAAGGGTCAAAACCGCTTAATGGGCCTCCACTGATAAGGCCGAATTAGTTTATTATTGAATTTGGTTGTCTAATTTTTTTCACAAAATTTACTTCCAGCAAGCTCGAGACAATTTACAATTTGCTCATCTCTCTTGCTCCCTCGCTACACGCCCCTCATCCCATGTATATTTCTTTGTATCACGCTCTCTGTGTGTATTTTGCGCTGATAACAGAATGACAGTCTTAGAAGCGTGTAGAAACATTACTACCTATAGTTCCGTTCCCGCTGACCGCTCTGGTCCGAGACAGCTTATCTTCAAATGCAAATTGTACGTCCAAAATTTGAATTGGGTTAGTTTTCAAAAATGTTGAGAAATTTGACTTAAGCTAAGGCTTAACTTGCACCGATTTCACGACAATCTTGATAAGTTAATTCATGGAGACGTTTGTATTATAATATAATATACACATCTACATTTAAATTTACATTTACATTTAATATAAATATTATTTATATTGAGGATTATGACTTTGTTTTCGGTTCAGCGGACAAGACTGTACTAGTTCAGTGACCTTTTACCGTTGTTGCTTTGTTCGAAGTGTTGGAAACTAATTTGGATGAGAATATGTTTAAATTTTGAATCCTTTTGTTTTATTTCAGTATTTTATCGATTATTATATTATCTAACACAATTGACAATCTTTTAAAACTCAAGCCTTAAACCAAAATATTTGCAAAATAAAAATATAAAAGAATATTTGTTAAAATTATTTGTTCCTGGTCTTCTCAAAAATATTACACAACTTACATCTTATTTTACAATCTTGACTTTCAAATATAAATTCGTTATAAAACCTAGACACAGAATATTTAATTTTTTATTTATGTTTTTATTTAAATTTTTTTAATTTCATTTGTAACTAATACCAACACTCTTAAACGCTAATCAATGATTACCTACAAAATATTGGATTAAATGTGTTTTCTCATCAAAATTTTCATCTCAGCAACATTTGCGTCTATTTTCACATTGAACCCATTAAAAATGTGGAAGAGGGCACAATGAGATTGTGCAAAATCAGGTAACATGCAGTAGGAAGCAACTCCGATCCGAATCGATTTAGTCAAGCCGATCTCAGTGTGTACAAGAAGTAAAGACTTCAAATTTTTAATATTATATCTTGTATACCATAGAAACTTGTGCTGAGAGTATCTCCTAGTCAAGCATTCTAATTAATTGTGTTATGTAATCATTTAAATATGCACTTTTCACAAACTGCTTGCTCACATCTCTCGTTAATTTCTTGAGCTCACCTGGCTTTGCGTTCCAGCTCTTTGGTTTTGGGATTGCGCGTTAAGACAAATGGCAATCGATTGGAGACAACGATCAGACTGGCCTTCGTCGACGGCTCCCCGGCATTGGTCACAATGATCTCCGTGTCGGCCATATTTTGTTTGATTTTTTGTTTTTGCAAGTTCATTTACAATTGCAGTTGCAGTTGCAACAGTTGTCAACAGTCACCGATTTTTGAATGTCCTTTCTAAACGGATTGATTAAAAGAAACAATTCACACTGATTTAAAATCACAATTGGGAATGCAAAAGTCTTAGCACATATTCACAATTTCAAACAGGATGTTTGAGAAATGTTAACGGCGTTGTATTTATTTATTATTTTAGTATTATAAATTTTTTTTTTTTTTGGGGGGGGGGCCTTGGACTTGTGTGCGCTGCGCTGTGTGGCTAACAACTAATAATTGCGCTGGAAATGCACTGGCTCTGAGATGGTGAGAGATGCAATCGTTGTTGACGCCTGTCTGCTGGATTGCTTATCAATGAGCCACCTCTATCGCCTATACTTACTATATACGGACTATATACGGACAAAGCGAATCGCTTACCGCACCTCAAAGGGGCTCGTAGAGCAAGAGAAGGTTCCGCAGATCGAGAGAGGCCGACGCGTTTTCCGAAAAAATAAAACAAACAATTTTAGTTCTGCGTACTCTGGACTTATCAGTCCAAGATGCAATTCGCGAGCGAAGAACTTTTATATTTTCTTTTCTTTGAGCTGTCGACTACGGATTCTCGCGTTAGCCAGCAGGTCCGTACCCTGCCAAAAATAGACAAGTACTAAAGTTAATCTCTCACATAACTCGTACTTTTCTTCGAAAATAAAGCAAACAATTTAATTATTGTGATGCGTTGTCAGGTTCCACAGAGTCCACACTCAAGCGTCGCTTATCAGAACAGTATTGAGCAGTAAATTTCTAGTATTTTCAGCTCATTACGTATATGCGAAAGCGTGCCAAGTGAATCCAGAAAAATTGAGAATTCAATATTTAAATTCCACTTTTCTCTCTTCCATTTTGAGTTCTGTCCCCCATCGCAAAGGAGCTACAAAATCACAGCTGTTCCACTTACAGCAAGTAAAGACTAGTCTTAGATGTGTGGTATTAACTGCCCGCATCTAGTTTCATCAGCTTGGCAAACGTTTGTCTCTTAAGACGGTAAGTCAATAAGTCACTATGTTATTCTTGTTGTTTGTCGCTTCAGTTATTTAAGGGAGAAGTTGTCTATTTTTGGAACTGGAATTGCACTTGACTGCTGCTTATAGATAATTTTGTATGTAATCCTTGCATAACCTTGTCATAACCTTAGATTTATCAATTAATTCAGTTGCGTTGATTGAGAACAATGCTGATAAGAGCGTCTTTCGCTGTGCAACTTAATGCCATTTTGTTTATGCAATGCACTCAAGATTTGGATTTGCCTAATTACATCGCCTACGCATTAGGTATGTGTGCTTAAGGTGTTTTTGAACTTGAACGCGAGATCATGTCGGACATTCATGCGCTTGTCATCGCGACAAACTTACAATTTGCGTGATGCCTGGAATTTGCAATAACACATTCACAATTCAACCTAGCCTAGTCATGTGTAACGATGCACCTGATAACCCGATTCAAGGGTCGGCTGAGAACATTATATATAGTTTTCTTAACAGCTGTGGAGGTTTGTCGTTTGTCGTTTGACGCAAGTCATCATTTGTTGAGGCTGCAATTTAAATTAAATAGTAAAGTAACGGTCTTTTAGCAGCGAATCAGTTGCCATAGCAAGCAGCCTTTGTCAGCATTAGTCGATCGGAGTATTTTGAGTTTGGTATGGTATCGATAATTTTGTGTTTATATCTCGTTTATCTTACTATAAAAAAATTCAAGATTGCACTTGTGCATGATTAGTTGCCAGAATAAAGATACACATCACACTTAATTTAAGTAAATAAATGATAATGTAAAGCGACTGGTGCTTGATGGTATTACAAGGCAGCCATCAGCTGTTAAAATTAATCTCAACCTTTCTTTTCAGCTTATTTGTTTAACTAAATGCCAGCACGCTATAATTAACCTATCATTGTTTATGTAATTTTGCATCTAATAAATAAATACAAATTCCTTTCTAGAATGGAAACCGTGAGCAACAGTTTTTTTTAACAACAAATTTACGGTCGCTGTTAATAACATGTTGCGAAATGTTAGTTTTTGGTTGACAAGAAAATAACAGAGCAAAAAAGAAAGAAGAAGGATTCTCGCTGCGATCAACTTATCATGGATCCCACGATTGTTGAGTTTATTGGAGAGAAGTGCATGATCAGTATAATACCGAACTTCTCCAATGAGCCGCTGCACTTAATTTATGGATCTGTGGGTCCATTTCGTGCCGGTTTTCCCGTTTTCGTGCCATTGTGGCTGGCGGCACATCTGCGAAAACAACAAAAATGTCGCATTGTGCCGCCGGAATGGATGGAAATGGAAACACTGGAAGAGATCAAAGAGGAGGAGAAGCGCTCCAAGTAAGTTTACGTTTGTATGTCTATATAAAAGTTACCCCTTAATTGTTGAGTGTTATTGCTCCTCAGATTCTTTACCAAGATGCCCAGTGAGCATTACATGGTGGTGGCCCAACTGGTCATGAGTACAGCACCAGATGATGTGCCACGTTGCGAAGAGTTGCGTACCATTATCAAGGATATCTTCGACATACGCGAATCAAAGTTGCGCACCTCGATCGATGCATTCATCAAGGGCGAAGGCACATACGCCAAGTTGGACAATTTAACGCTGCTAGAGATGCACAGCGTGCGACCAATTCTGCCCTATTCCCTAGATCACATAGCACGCTACCAAAGAATGGCAACGGCATCGCAGCGAGACACTTCCATGATGAACACAACAGGCGGCGGCACGGGAACAGGCTCAATGAGCAACTCTTTCTTCACACAATAATAAATAATGTTAATAATTTTAGGTTTAGTTAATTGTAAATACTAGAAAATATTATAATAAAATAGAGCTAAGCAATACTCGCCACATTCCTGCAAAGGGGCAGCAATTAAAATTGGCTGGCATGTTAAAAATCAGGCATACAATTTGTACAACTTTATTTATCAAAAATAGTATAGTATAAATGTTTATTGATGTAGTTGCTAAAGTGGACAAATAGCATTAAACAAATAACACAATTCAATCGCGCTTAACATAAGCTTAAACAGTTAATAAAAAGTCGCATGCTGCATTAATCAGGAGCTGGTGAAGCCGATTCCGGATGAACCCTTTTCACATGTCGACATAAGTTGTCCCAACGTGGTGTCACAAATTTGCAGCCAGAGATTATGCACACATGCAGCAGGACTCCCTCAGTGGGCACATGCTTCACAATGTGCCGCTTAATGTTATAGCCACGATTGGTGCGATAATCGCAACTGTTGCACTTATACAATATAATTTTGCCTTGCATGTGGCTTCTTCTGCAATTATAAATATAATTTAAATATTGTATTAGAGGTAATATTTTGATAAAAAGTTTCCATTGTATTGAATATTATGATTGCAATTTGTAAACAAATCTAAAATTTCTTTTCTTTTTATTTCCTTACTTTGGTTTAGCAATATTTTTCTTCTGTGTTTTTGAATCTTTCTCTTTTTGAATAGGTTTGGCTGCTGAAGACGCTTCAGCTGACAGTGCTGTGGACATTTCATCAATTGTCATTGATCTTGTATCCTCATAGTCATCCTCATGCTCCACTCCTGGATATGCTTGATCCTCATCCTCCGCATATGCTTGATCGTCATCCTCCTCATAAACTTGATGTTCATCCTCCGGATATGTTTGATGCCCATCCTCCGGATGTGTTTGATGCCCATCCTCCGGATATACTTTATGCTCATCCTCCGGATATGTTTGATGCTCATCCTCCGGGTATGCTTGATGCTCATCCTCCGGATATGTTTGGTCCACATGCTCCAGATATGTTTGATCCTCATCCTCTGGATATACACGATCCTCATCATCCATATATGTTCGATCCTCATCAGTGGGCTTTGGGCTTGCTGGCTCCTCATCACATGGCTTTATTTCGGAATCCTCACATGTGGGTGGGGGAGTCGTCGAATCCTTAACTGCCGGTTTTTCCACCCGATGCAGTCGCTGAATGTGTCGCGTCAGATTATCCCAGCGCAATGACGAAAACGAGCAGCCCGAAAAGGGACACAAATGTTGCAGTTCCCTGGGAGGTTTCTCATAATGATTGGCGAGGTGCCGTTGAACATTGTAGGCACGATTTGTCTGATAGCTGCATTTTGTGCACCTATATAATTTTTTGGGTTTCGGCATCTTCTTTGGCCCAGTCACCACCACCACATCGTCATCCATTGTGCACAACTTTCAAAACATCTGAAGGCAGCGGCTAAGTTGGATATTTTTTGTTAATCTCTCATCATGCAGAGATGGAGCTAAATGGGCAAAATACTTTTCAAATAATATTATTTCCACAGAACAAGCTGAGAGCAATATGATTGTATATTATTTAATAGCTACAAGTTTTTATGTCCAAATGCATTTATTTTTATTGGCGTTGCCAACTTGCTGTACACCTTGTTAACGTTTCAATGTGAATGGCAGAGAGGAATGGCGCAAAAACTGAAAAGTGCTAAAAATTATTTCAGGAAATATGGAAAGCTTATTAAACTCTAATCCGATCCTTGTAAAATCGTTTATATCGAAAATGAAACAAATGTCTGTATAATAATCAGTTACTCTGTTAAAACCTCCTCAGTTGTAGGTGTACCCACATCTGGATTCACCTTTTTTTGTGTTATTAAATTTAACACATACTTGAGTTAGCAAATCAGCTGTTTGGTAAATACAATTATGTCCGCGTTTCAGTGTGAATGACAAATGTGACGCGGTAGGTGAAAATTGTGGACGAAAAACTGGCGAAAAACTAGAGAACCTAGCGAAAAGCGCAAGAACACAAAATGAGCGAGTCTGTGGCAACAGGAGCGGCAGATGCCGTTGCCGTTCAAGGAATGGGCATCAACAAAATACACTTTTCCAAGGAGGTGAAACAGGTCATCGACAAGGTGAGCTCAACATATGCCACGAACCTAAATAAAAGCAGATTACAACTGAATTTATCACATTTTTGTAGGTGCTGAAAACAGATGAACAGGATCCAATGGATGCACCCGATTTCAATACCGTGGACTACATCAATCAGCTGTTTCCCAACGAGCAATCGCTGGCCACCATCGATGAGACCATTCAACGGATGCAGTGCGAAGTCTCCCTCATCGATGATAATATCCGCTCTGTGGTGCGTGGCCAGACGAATACCGGTCAGGACGGACAATTGGCTCTGTGCGAGGCACAAAAGGTCATCAGTTCCCTATTCACGCACATCATCGATGTGAAGACACGAGCCGAGCGCACCGAGGAAATGGTCAAGGAAATCACACGCGACATCAAACAACTGGATTGCGCCAAGCGGAATCTCACCTCGGCGATCACGACACTGAATCATCTGCATATGCTTGTGGGCGGCATTGAGAGCTTGAACGAGCTGATTGAGCGACGCTCCTACGGTGAGATTCTAAATCCATTGCAGGCCATCACCGAGGTAAATCAACATTTTCAGCAGTATTCGGACATTGAGGAAATTAAGGTAGTCAATGGTTAAATCTGGCTAGTTATAAAATCTAAACTTATCACTCAATTCGCACAGAATCTGTCGCAGAGCGTAGATAAAATCCAAGTGACGCTGGCACAACAAATAACTGAGGACTTTAAAGAGGCATTCGCCAACAAGCCGTCAACGCAGCACAGATTGGGACTCAATCAGCTGGCGGATGCATGCAAGGTGATGTCCGTGCTGGATGCGAAGGTGAAGAAGGAGCTGCTCAAGTGGTTTATAGCCCAACAGCTGGAGGAGTATATGCATCTGTTTCACGAGAACCAGGACATCGCCTGGCTGGACAAGATCGATAAACGCTATGCCTGGCTAAAGCGTCATCTGTTGGACTTTGAGGATAAATATGGCGCCGTCTTTCCGCTGGACTGGGAGGTCTCCGAGCGTATTACGGTCGAATTTTGCCGCCAGACACGGCAACAGCTGGCTCAGATAATGGCCAAGCGCACCAACGAGATCGATGTGCGTTTGCTCCTCTTTGCCATCAATAAAACGCAGGCCTTTGAACAGTTGCTCTCCAAGCGTTTCACGGGCATCACGTTGGGCACCACGCCCGCCGAGCAGACACGTGTGCTCACCTTACCGGCCACAACAGAGGCACCGTTGTCAGTGACCATATTCCATGATCAGATTGGTCAGTGTTTCAAGCCACATTTGGACATTTATATACGCAGTATTGATCGCAATCTCGCCGAGCTGCTGGAGAAGTTCATTGAGATGTCCAAGGAGCCGTACAAATTTGCCGAGGCCAAAACCACGGTTTATCCCAGCTCTGGAGACTTGTTTGTCTTCTATAAGAAGTGCATGGTGCAGTGTAATCAGCTGAGCAACGAGCAGCCCATGTATGATCTGGCGCTAGTCTTCAAGAAATATCTACGTGAATACGCATCCAAGGTGCTCGAGGGCAGCACACCCAAACTGGTGCCGAACAGCACCAGCAGTTCCATTGGCAAAAGCGTCTCGCTGCTGACGCGCGACATGCAAAATCTCTCCACGGCTGCCGGGCAGGTCTTCCACAATTTCCTCAAGGAAGGCGACACGCAGCGTTTCGGTCGCGATGATCTTGTGCGCATCTGTTGTGTGCTGACCACCGGTGAATATTGCCTGGAGACCGTGCAGCAGCTGGAGGATAAGCTGAAGGAGAAGGTGACGCCTGCCTATGTGACCAAGATTGATATGAGCGAGGAGAAGGATGTTTTTCATCGGTTAGTCGAAACTTATGTGATTAAGTTTGATCTTTATTAATTATTTGTTATTCCCCCAGCATCATTTCCAACTGCATACAACTGCTCGTGCAGGATTTGGAGGCCGGTTGTGAGGCGTCGCTGCAGGCAATGGCCAAGGTGCAGTGGCAGCAGATCAGCAACGTGGGAGATCAGAGCGCCTTTATCAGCAGCATTTGCAGCAATTTCAAGCAGACGGTGCCCACAATACGCGACACGCTTGCCAGTTCTCGCAAATACTTTACGCAGTTCTGTCATCGCTTTGTGGCCGCATTTATACCCAAGTTCATTAATGTGCTGTACAGGTGTAAGCTGACGCTGTCGGATGGCTCCAACAATGTGCTGGGCTGTGAGCAGCTGCTGTTGGACACACATTCGCTGAAATCGGCACTGCTCGAGCTGCCGTCGGTCGGTTCGAGTGTGAATCGCAAGGCTCCGACTAGCTACACCAAAGTGGTGGTCAAGGATATGACGCGTGCTGAAATGATAATCAAAGTGGTCATGACGCCCGTACAGCCGCCGGCGCATTTTACGCAACAAGTGCTCAAACTGCTGCCGGACATTACAATAGCCGAATATCAGAAAATACTCGATATGAAGGCGGTTAAGCGCGTGGATCAACTTCAACTGATTGATCTCTTCAAGCATACTGCCTCGGCGGCGGCCGTCAGTGGTCTTTTGGATGCACCCAACAGCGAAGAGGACACGCCAAATCCAAGCGAAACACCAGCAACTGGCACAGAGGAGCCAGATGCAACGACTGCTGCTCCTGCATCGGTTGAAATTCCAACAACTAGTGCCTCCAGTTCCACGCCGAAGCGTGCCTTCATCTTTAGCGTGGGCAGTTTTACGGGCAGTGCGGATAAAAATGCCGATGGCAGCTCTCAGACGGGTATTCGCAAGCTGGAGAGCCTGCTCAAGAAACGTTTCCCCTAGTCAAAGCCACTAACTAGTTTATAAAAATCCACTAACATTCCATTAGTTCGCTGTAATTTCATAAGATGTTCCACATTTCGATAATTTGAAGAATATGTGACTTTTAGCAACAATTGGCAACTCGCGTCCATAAAAGTGTGTAAGATTTAGTAATATTTTATTTTTATACATAGAAAGTCAAGGCTATAAATGGCGGCATTAGTATAAATTTCGAATTGACAAAAACAAGTCTTGATTTACTTTTGATCGAAAATTTTCATTAAAAATGTCGATTCTGATATCTAAATATTATAATTACAAGAGATTCTAATTCTCTGTACTTGTACTTAGCAAATTCTAATTTATTTAATGCAGCAATATTTTAAAAATTGTAAGTTATTTTTAACTGCAATTATGAACGACTCTTATTGTTTATGAGTTTAGTTTATTCGTGTTTAATGACAATTCATTGGATTAATGTATGTTGTACCATTAAAAACATTTTTATTGGATGTTGAATTCCACTTCCAAGTTCCCTTTGGTAATAATGCCTTGAATAATTTTGAAAAGAATTGAAAGACATGTTATCGATTTTGTATTTGCTTTTATTGTAGACTTGACTTGTTAGCTTTAAAACATAAACTTATGTGACTATATTGAACGTTGTATTCTCATCGATTCATTGCTCTGTGTTCATTGTTCATGTTCATGGTACTAATGACTACGAAGTTTACTTTTAAAAGATATTTCTATGTTGAGAGCTCTTAAGTACTAGAGATGCGTTTATGCTATATAGTACATGCAAAACTAAGTAACTAGCGAGAGTTTCAATTTCTTGTTATTCTTGTTCATTTTTTTTGTAACGTACGATCTAAATTGAAGATCTTTTGAAAGTTTTGAAAGTCGCCCGAGGAGCGCACAAAAAAATACAAATCTCTATAACAAAAGACTTAAGACACGAACTAAATTATACAACTAAATACTAAAATAACTTTTGTTTCCGTTTTTGTTTTTTGTTTTGTTTTGTTGATGGATTGGATGTTATGTTAAATATGCTTTGGTTTAATTCCAGCACTGCAAAAAACCTAAAGCTATATATATATATATATATATATATATATGTATATGAGCTATATGACTATTACGCAGTAGGCGTGGCAATCGGCATTCAAAGGCCAGTTAGAACCCAATGGCTAACAACGCCCGAAGCCGACGCTTAACTTATAATACAGTCTAGATTTTTCGTAGATATATATCTCTTCACTCAGACACACAAATACACAGTATTTACGAAAGTCGAGTGAACTGTCCTGGGGTGTTCCATCTCTAGACGGCGACAATCTTGCTGGGATCCACTTTGACGCGCAGAAAGACCGTGTCGCTCTTGATGAACGGCCGACTGTGGAGCAGTTCGTGCGTGATGAACCGTGGAAACCCAAAACCGAGTTGATCTGGCTCATTCGATGGCCGCTGAAAGTTCTCCCATGTGGGATCGGGCACAAAGGATTCGGCCACACCACCTTGACCGCTTTGAGCACCCTGTTCGAACAGCGTGAATGTGATCGAGTGCGAAAATGGCCATTTGAGCAGAGCATCGTATTCACCGGGTAGCACTTTAATGTAGACAGAGACATGGGTATTCTCGCCGGGTCCATTGCCATTGAGGAACATGGATGCCTGCAGCTTGTAGCCATACTGTGAGGTGTAGAATGGTGGGGAGACCAGCTCGAGGCCATCTTTGCCGCGTGCCTCATTCATTTTGGCCGACCAGTCGGTGATCTTCCAGAGCAACGTGCCCGTATAGTTGATCGACAGCTTGGACACGGCCGACTTGAGCATCTGGATCTGTTGGCCCTGTCGCGTGCTCAGGGAAACCATCAGCGACAGATGTGCGGCGGCACTGTTCTCCAGATGGGCCTCGAGCAGTTGGCGCGGACCCTTGAAACGGCAGCCGGCATCCTTAAAGCTGCAGGCAACGGCCAGCGATTGGCATTCGTCGCGCAGATGCGCCTCGAGTTCCCCGCGTGCAATCAGACCCGCATCGCAGCGTTGCGGACAGGCGAGCGGAGTGCGGGGACACTGGGCCGCATGCAGCTGCAAAGTGTCCGCGCAGAATTCACGCTGACAGTGGGCGCAGCGACGCAAACGTTTTGCACAGTCCTTCGACTTGTGCAGCGTCATTCGTCCGCGCAGGATTCGTTGGCCACACTTGGCCTCGCAGTACACCGGCTCCTGGCCACAGCTACCGTTGTGCTCCTCCAGGCCAGCGCCCGAGAATTCACTCTGGCAGAACTCGCAGCGGGTGCGGCGCATGGTGCACGTGTACTGCAAGTGGTCGGTCATCATGATGCGCGGTATCTGTGCGCCACACTTGTTGGGGCACTGTGTGGCATCGTGCTTGCATGTGTTCAGATGACCCTTCAGCTTGCGCAGCTCATCCGACCACTTGCAGCCCTGCTTGTGGTGTATGCAAAACACCAGCGAACCCATTATCGCCTGCTTCGGATCCGGACCGGGATAGATCTGCAAGGAATGAAAAAATCCAGTTCAATTAGTAATTGCTTAAAGTTGTGAAATTATATTTAACTTTTACAAATTCGAGCTATAAAATCTTGGGCTATAATAGTTTAACTTCGAAAAATGTTATCGCCCTAAAACGTTAATCGCCCACAAAAGAGTTTCTTGTTTTTAGAAATAATTCCTAAATATAAGGAAAAAAATCTAAAAGTTAGAAAATCTTGAAATAAAATTGTTGTATATTTTATTACTTAGGAATGTTTTCTATCGTTAAGAAATTTATTTCTAAAAAGTAGAAATTCAAACGTTTATTTTTATAAGAAAATTATATAAACAAATAATGTAATTTTCTGAGTCTAGTTAAAATGCTAAAGTTATATTCAACTTTTAGAACGTCGAGTTACAAAATCATAATTAAAACAAGTTTAACTCTGAAGAATGTATCTCTTAGCTGCAATATCTTTAGCCCTTACTTTGTATTTGATTTTGCCAACACGTTGCCAAAAACCCATCGAACTGAACTGTAACACGCACAAATCTTGACTGTTTGAATTGGTCAGCTATCCGCACACTTTTATAGCTGACTGTAAGGACACTAGATTTGATAATGTGTTCTATTTATCCTACTGATAAGCCTTGTTGAAGGATAATTTGGAGATCTTCTTATCTTTTTAGCCCGCAGAAAAACTGTTTACTGTTTATTGTTTTACTGCTTTTCACGAGTTACCTCAGCAATTTGCTACCTGCCTTTTGCTGCCTCACGCAGCTAAGCCGTCAACTCTGTTTACGCATGACTGATCATGTTCTAAGACGCACAAATACCGACACGAACACAAACACACACATACACATACATACATATTTATATGTGTATAAAAGGCATGCACTTCCTGTCTACCATTTTGGGCTCTGGACAGTTTGGACCGCTTGAGTGCATTTTGTGCATGCGCCTTTGGCAAAGCTGCTCCCCAGTTTCTTTATCGTAATTACCAGAAGAAAAGGGGGAGTTGCACTTTGGGGGCGTGCCTAGCATCCATCAAGATTATAATAATGAATTGTGCGAATATGTTTATGACTAGCTATCAATCTAATTAAAATTCAATATATGAAATGCCATTCAAGTATACCAAAGATGATTTGTGGCTACACTAAAACAGTTAAATGAACATTTTTATGTGTGTGTGTGTGTGCTTGTGTGTGTGTCACACATGTGTGCAATTCCCCCACCAAGTGCCGAGCGTCGCGACATTTCCGGTTGACTCTTTTAATTGACCTTATCTGCAGTTTGGCTTTGCGGCGCCCGCGTCGAGACGAGCGTGGCTTGACTTTTTGATAAATGAACATGTCTCGACTTGTCCACGACTACAATTTGAGCGAGCTCCCAGTGAAAATGACATCAAAATGAAAGATATAATAAGCAATTAACACATAAGCCGGTCCCCGGGTCTCCAACTCTCTGGAATATGGGCGTAAAGCATGAAACCCAAAACAGAACAAATGAAGAATAATAATAATAATACATATGTACATACATACAGAGCTGTACATCTATACATAAATATGTATATACATTTCTATGGAATTGCCTTTTGCTGGTAATTTTATTTAACGTGAAAACAAGTTTTAGCTGTTTTTTTTTTATTTTTTTATGATATCTTTAAATGACAAAAGAGCATTAGAGAATAAAATAGAGCTGAACTGTGGCCAGCTAAAATTTTGAACTCTGGCAACGGGCCATGGACCAATTAGCAGTTATGAATTGGGTGAATAAGTTGTATATATGTACATATGTATGTATATATCATAAGTATACTCAAATTCAGGAAGTGAAGACCACATCTTCATATGTACGATAAACAAAATACAAAATGTTTACCAAATGTTTACATTAATTGAAAATGATGTGCAGGCGGGCGCACCGGTTCCTTCCAACTTCATCCAGTCAAAGATCAAAAAGCCGGCTGCCAACTGATGTTTGTCTGTTTGTCAACGTGGATGCTGTTTACAAGGAAATCAAATACGAGTTCCAGGCAGGGAAAATCTAAAGAAGTTGGGGCAAGTGTTCTCTAGAGATCATTGACTCTTTATTAAGACGATTAGTTTAGAGTTTCATGTACTACTTAAATGGCGGACCACACAGCGTAGCAGAAATTATTATATAATATCTATATAATTATCTAGGTTGAGCACCGGAAAAATACAAAAATCTATCTGGCTAAATATATGTCAATTTAACAAATTTATGCTGCCTTGAGAAGCTCGAAAATATAAAATGTTGGGGCGTCTTTAACTACAATCAACTTAACTTAAGTGCTCAACGAAAAACAGTTTTAAAAACAATTTGATACGCATTGTGCAATAAAACAAAACAAAAACACTAAAAAAAGGAGGTCCAAAAGTCATGTTATATAAAATCAGTTGATTTGAAATTCAATTTGTGCGTGCTATGAAAATGAAAGCGCATAGAAATAAACAAAACCCAAAAAAGCTGATATAATTAAAAAAAAGGCAAAAAAAAAACTAAAACAAAATCAATGAACTGTAAAAAACAACAACAGATTGTTGAGGCGAGTTAAGCAGTGAAGTGCATTGAAAAACAAGGCAATATTTATTTTTATAAGGCCTGCTAAATGCACTTACTCTGCCAGCACTTCAATCATAAGATTGAATTTTAAAAATGAGCAGGAAAGCAAAGATATTTTATAATTATAGACAAGCCATTTGTTTCGATTCGATGCACTGCAGAGTAGTTCGAACTGATCTTGGCATGGGTCTAGCATATTTCCACACGTCCTATACATAAAGATATATATTTTTATACATATATGTATGCAGATGTATCCATAAAGTTCAAGGCGCTCATAGAAATTGTTTTGGGGAGATTGCCGCACTGCTGACATGTCTGTTTTATTTTTGTTGGCTTTTTATGGCTTCGTTGGGTGGGGTTGGGGGCAGGAATTTTGGCCCCAATCAGGCAGCAATTAAAACTCATACCAATCTGGAAGTGGCTGATGCCAACGCATTGTTTATGTTTCTGTTTGTGTTGAAAGTTGCATCCAAGCACCCAATACATTTTTCTGTTTTGGTCATGATCTTTTCTCTTTTTTTTTTGTGTAGTGACTTTATTAATAGGAAAACTTTGGGGGTGCAAGTATAACTTCTACAGCTTCTTTCTTTTATTAAGACTCCATATGTTAATAAGCGATCGATTCGTATGTTTTTAAGATTATTACATGTAAAATTACGCTCATAATTTCTATTCCATTCCATAATGCCTAGAAATTGTTGTCTTTCAAAGTACTAAATTTCTAATAACAAAATAAACTTTATTTGGGCTGTCAATAAGCAAGCACGATTTTCAACATGCTAACTAAAATATCATCAATGGTGGCATTCCAGCTACCCAGTGTGGCAACGATTGATGGGGCAACGTTAGCACCTTGCCACCTATTAGAAGTGCACCGCGGGCAACTTCCGTTTGGTCTGTTAACCAAAAATGCATTATTCAAGTTGATTTTAACAAAAGATCGTTTTTTAAATGGGTCGATACAATGGGCAATGGGCCTGCAACACGCACCAAAAATATGAAGAAAAAAAAAACAACTTGGCATGGCTCTCACAATTCTCCAAATTGTTGTTGTTTTCATTAACAATTTTCGTCGTTCATATGACTGCTGTGACCAGTTCGAGTTTTGGAAACTGTGCTAAATGTTTTCATATCAAATTAGAGCGCCTTGGCGCTATTTGCTTACATATAAAACTTCCCACAGTATTTTTTTGCTTATGGTTTTTTTTTGTATTTGTTTTTTGCTTTCGGCTACCTGTCTCGAAACAGCTGTGCAACAGGTTTAAGCTTTGGTTTATGTTTTTTTTTTTTTTTTTTATTGTGGCTACGTTTGTTATGTTTATGATGATGAAATACAACGCCCCAAAAGGGGCGTAGAATGCGCTTGGCTGACCCAATAAAATGTATGCGGCTAAAATGCAACGCTAGCATAAATGGTACAAAAAAATTAACCAGCTGATGCGCAGTTTAATGAATTTCACAAAGAGCTGCAAATGCTTCAACGTAACAATTACACTAATACATACACACACACACACATAAGTGAAGACAGCTGCAAAAAGAAAAACAAAAACATGAGCAAAGCCACCAAACAGGTTTTGAGACTGTAAAGAGAGCGAGCAGCTGTTTTTTCTCTTCTCTTTTTTGTTTTGTCTTTTGCTTTGTGCTCTGCACCTGCACGCACACTAATAGCAGATATATGTGTTGTTGTTGCTGTATTTGCATGCATAGCTAAAATTGCAAAGATCAAATGTTCTAAATATTGTGCACAGTGTTGCCACACTGCTGTTGTCTGCACTAATGTTGCCCAACTGCACACGTATTGCAGCATCTCGACGCCATGTTGCAATTTATTTTGACCTGCTGCAGGTGAACTTTGTGCTGTGTTAATTTCGGCTATTTTTTGGGAGCAGCTGCTGAGGCTGTTTAGTGTTTTGTAATATATGCTGGTAGTCACAGCTTGGCAGCAGCAGCTGCTTGGACAGGAAGCGCGACAGCGCAACTGCTGACGCTTCGTTTGTTGGCCAAGTTAAGCGACGATCGCTGCTTTTGGGTTCGTCGTCTGGTATTTGGCTCGCCAAAACAACAACAACCAACAAATATGTATTTCAGCTTGTTTTTTCGTTCTTGACAAGGTCCAAGAGAAAACAGTTGACTCAGCTCCAGCAGACACACTCACATAGAAATTATGATTAGCAGCTGGGTGTGAAATGCCAGTGTTGCTAAATGCCAAAACGCTAATCAAAGTCAATTTTTTTACAGCAAGTTCCTCGTCGCGAGAGTGTGGGAAAATGCAATTGGAGCAGCGGCAATTTAAATTGTGGGAAAAGCTGGCGGAAATGCTTTTGCTAGCCGGATGCTGGTCAATACCATAAGCTGGACTAATCCAACAGTTATGCGCGGCAGACGCCTGCGCAAACCGGTTAACTGGTTTACCTTTGGCCAAGGATGTTTGGAAAAGCCGCCTGAACAACTTTTCCAAATGCAAAGCTAAATAAAGAAACTCGTTTGCAAAAAAAAAAACAACGACAAATGGCAAAGCGGCGAGATATTTGTGACTTATATAATCGCATTTTTCTAACGGTATTTGCTGGGCAGACGACGCCTTTAAACTTTGGCATTTCTTGCATGCCACGGCTATTTGTAGTTGATGCAACAACAGTAGCGGCGCCAAAGCAACCAGTCACGATTCCAATGCTGAAAACTGTGGCATGTTGTTATTAGTTGTTATTGCTGCTGTGGCACGTTTTGCGCCAGTTGCCCACTGGTCGTGGTCGTGGTCGGCGGGTGTGGCTCGGTGGCCAACATAACATGGCTAACTATGCGAACCAAAACTAAAATGGAATGCACCACTTGCTGTTCACTCTTAAATAAATAAGGAACTTTGCACTTTCTGCAAATTGTTGCACATTCTTTACTAACATGTAGCATATTGGCAATTTGCGAGTTTTTCAATTAACAAATTACCTTATCTTTGTAGAGAGTTGTAAAATAGTTGGTCTTATAAGATAGGAAAGAGTGTGTTACCTTCATAAATATTTATGCTACTATTTATTTATTTATAGCTAGATATTGATTTGGGTTATTTGAGAAAAGGAATGCAACTGCAAATATGAATTATCAGCATACAAAAGTCAACAATAAAATAAATGTATTCACTTATAGTTATATATTTTATCTAGTACAAAAGTCAACGAAATATTATAAATGTATTTATTTATTGATATAAAATATTTTGTTGACTTTTGTATTCACATAAATAGTGCATATTTGCAGTGGCATTTGTTTCTCTCGAATAACCCAAATCAACAGCAGCTATCAATTGCCTAGATAAACAAATGTAATCGTTAACGGTATTTGGATTGTTTATGTCGCATTTGCAATCATTTTTCCCACAGGCAACAGCACTTGAAGATTTCCAATTTAGCGGCGTTGCATGCAACATGTGCGCTGTGTGTTGCACCGTCAATTGTCAGTTTGCCACGTTGTGCACATGTGTGTGTCGTCTACAACAAAGTGAGCGCCCTTTCAGATTCAGATTCCCATTCCCATTTAAATTCCCATACCCTGTTCAAGCATAGCGACATCCTGTTTGCTTTTCAGCGTTTTCTTTTTTCTTTTTCTTTTTCTTGTATCTATTTTGTGGCACATGTGTCTCTCTAGATTTCTATGTATGTGTGTCTGTGTGCGGTGTACAAACTGGCAATTTGATTTTAAGACATTTAGTTCAAGCGCTCAATTTGGCAAATTGCTCTTAACTTGGACATCGACGGGGCATAGTTGGGTGGTCTCGAAATTGACTCGATAGTTGTTTCTATCATATAAATAAACTCGCTTATCTAGCCTAGAAATCCTAGTGTTATCAGTTAATTGCCGTCAAATGTACAGTGGAAGCTCCATTATAATAATTTTCTCAAAAATATTATTATTCAGCTATTTTTAAAAATAAAAAATGTTGAAATTTTAATATAACAAAATAAATACATTTTTTTTTTGTTAAATAATTTACTTTGAAATTTGAATTATGCATTATTTTGTTGTCTGGCGACTACTGTATTTATAATAATTTATCAGTTGTTTGGTTGATATTTGTTCTATTTGCTTTTGTTACTGATTGATTGTTAATGATAAGTGGCTTATCCGCATTTCGTTGGCTTTCGTAATGCCAATTGCAGTTCCCTTTGAAATGGGTCAATGAGCTTTATCGCTGGCATTTTATTTTATTTATTTTTTATTATGTTATTTTTTTTTATCAGCTTACGCCGTTTGCACAGCTGCTGCTTGGGCCAAACAGGAAGTTGAAGTGCGTTCTACTAATAAAACTTACGATCTGTTCCAGTTCCGTTATGGGCATATTGTTAATATTGTTGTTGTTGCCCGGCGATGGCGAATTGTGTGAAGCGGCCGATGAATGCGATGAGGACACCGTCGATGAGGAGGAACGCGATGTGGCACAATTGCTGTGTCCCTTGGTTTTGTTGCGCGGCGGTGTTGGTGGCGGCACCGGATTGGCCAATGTGGAGCAATCTTTCGAATTGCGATTGGGGGACAGACGTGAGGGAAAACTCAACGTTTTGGTCCACTGTGCCAAGCTGCGTACCATTTTGATTGTTGTTGTTGCTGTGCTTAATTTGATTGAAACTAATCCACAGGGTGTTTCAAATTGTTGTTCTTTGAGTGTCAGGTGTGTGTTGTACAACACTGATTGTTTGTTTTAGTTTTTGGCAGTTTTAAGCACTCATCATTTCACAATTTTGCGTTTATATTTCAACTCGCACAACGCACGCGCGACTTTGTTTAATTTTTATATTTCGTTTGTATCAATTTTAAAACCTGGTGAAACGCACAAAATAACGAACCGTTTGCGTCGCTCGCTCGAAAGCAACTGAAATGACGCAGTCGCTGAGCAAGAGACCTACCCGGTCTCACACACACATCCATGCAAACAAGCGACACTCACGCTCATACACATGCGCAAAGCTGAGTTATTGTGCAAATGAGATGGCAATAGATCAGCAGTTGACTGCATTGCATTTTAGAGCGAGAGAAAAGCAACAACAGAAGCAGTAGGCAGCGACAGAAGCAGCAGCAGCAGCAGCAGAGATAGCAGCAGCGCCTGCTGAAGAGTTTCCCCATATGGAGCGAGTTTCAATTCGTCAGTTGTTCAGTTCAAAAATATGTTGATGAAATGATGAAATTGGCACTGAGCCAGCACAGTTGCGGAACTTGTGTGTGTGTGTAAAAGTATTGAGAGCAAATGCAGGCTGCATGGATGGATTGACAAGAAGTACTCAAGAGGCATTCCGCAGAGGTCAAACTCGAAAAGACAAGCATTTAATAGAAATGGTTGTCAAAACTTTTACGAGCACTATGCAACTATACGAAATTTTTAATGACTTGATTTCAAAATAAAGATATGTGGCTAATAAATTAATTATGATTTAAATGTTGTATGCGATTTACAAAATATTATAGTAAAATTTAAATATTTACTAAAAATGTAGTAAATTTTATTTTCCACTAATTAAAAAGTTTTTTTTTTTTAAGAATTGATGCTTTTGATTTTTGAAATAAGTTTGGAGGATACATAAAATAAAATTTCCAACAGTTGGCTGGCAGTAAATTTAGTGTCTATTGCTAATGGACACAATTCAAGTAACGATCTGGGCACAGTTGTAAATTGCAGTTGGCTATCATTTAGGAAAAATCAACCCTAAATTTCCACTCAATTTGGCAGCAGGACACTCTCCAAACGTATACAGTAATTGCCATGTTGAGCCAATAGTCAGCAACGTGGTCTAATGATGGGCAACAAGCCATTTGCGCTGCAATTACGTAAACCGATCCCAAAGGAAGGCAACAAAAGCAGCTGTTTGGCTCTATGAGGAGAAGGGAGGGGCATTTTATGTTTTTGAATAAAAGGTGGATGCGAATTATAACGAAACGCACTTCCGTTGGCCACATACCAAAGACCCACGCGAACATCAATACACACAACACACACAACATACACAACACACACACACACGCAGATAGTAAAAAAGAAAAAGAAAAAAAAAACCGGCAACAACGGCCTTGCCAAGGTTGACTGAACATGTTGAGTTGGCCTGTTGGCCGTTGCCGAAAAAAAGAGTCATTAAACACAAGCGGCAGCAAGAAAAGTTGTTCAGACCACAGCAAAGAGAGCTGCGGAGAGAGAGCGAGAAAGAGAGAGAGAGAGTCAAAGATCTCTTGACTTGGCCAGGCCAAAACAACTCTCTCTCTCTTTCTGTGTGCCTCTCTCTTGTGGTTAATAGCAGAAGATCCGCTTAGAAGCTTAGCGTTGACAGCGATTTCATCTGGTTAGGAAAATGGGCTCAAACCTCAGCAGAAAGTTTCTGTTTTGTGTGACCAGGCGCTTGATGAACAGATTCGCTCCGTTTGCTTTTTTGGCCAGCTGCTAATTTGTTCCCATTTTTGCCGCCAAATTCCAGACCATCTTGCCGGCATATGTCGGCCATGATAGTTGCAGATGCAGCATACCAATCAGTTCAACTGTTATTGTCCTTACGTCCAGGCAGAGGACATTGTGTGGTCGGCTTGCCTTGGGAAATGGCAGCAAATGGAAACTGAAACTCTGGCAGCTGTTTTATTTAATGCGAACAATGCGCTTATTGACAGTTTGCCAAAGGTGTCGTTTGGGTTGACACAAAGGATCAGCAAAAAAGGATCGTGTGATTGTGCAGACTGTGGAAATGTTTCCGGAACTGTAGTTTTATGTTGCCATTGGAAATTCATTCAAAAAGCGTGAGGATTTTTGATGCAATCCTCATTTTTTGAAGGGTTTTCTATTTAAATGTTTTTGTTTTATTTAGAAAGATTTTGTATTATTTATATTTATTGGGGGTATGATAAGGTATAAATGTAATAATCATAATCCTAATAAAGCCTCAATTTGTATTCATCAGGATAGATTTAATTTAATTTTTTAAATATTTGTCTGAGATTCGAAGGCGCATCTTTGTTTCTTAATTCACTTATAAAATACTAAATATACAATACTTTTTTTTACTGTACCTTTTTTTATCATAATTTTGACTAATAAAAGGTTTTTCTTTTCCTTAAAACAAAATATTCTGAAACATATGCTGTGTGAATTTTTACAATGGCTTTGCAGCAACTATTTTAATAAGCATTCAATCTTTGCACAATAATTCATTAGCTATGCCTCAAATCATTAATTATTATAGAAAAAAGGAATGTAAATGGGTTTTACATTGTCTTAGGTAATTTTTTGTTATTGTTTTCCATTTAACGTTTTAACTAATTCACTCCAAGGCCAACAACTGTCCATTAACATTTAGTCTATGACTAAAAAAATGCCTAATTAATAAACTGAAAACATGGTCTATTTTCACTTTTAAGATGTTAAGTACATCCGCTGGCAATAAAACAGTTTCCTCTTCCACTGCTAATCAAAAGCTGATTTGCTTAATTAAGAGTTTAAGATCACAAAAAATAAATATTCCAAAACGATGATGCAATTCTCTTAAATTAAAGTCCCTCCAAAAATGAGAAGGCGTGCGCCTAACCATTAATCTCTTGCATAAATATTTAATATTTAACATATAAACACAACTAGGAGAAAATATCAAATATTTTCGTGCACAGAGCTGATAAGTTGGTTGGTTTTTTGATAAGCAGTTGAGAAGAGTCAGTAAACCCGCAATCAGTTTGTCAGTCCATCAAATGGACCCACATCAGTTGGAGCTGATCGCTGTGGGTTTTCATTTCTGATTACTCGATATTTTCCCAAATGATTTGCATTGGGCGTGTCCAGTTCGAAATGCCCTACCCTTATTTACTTTCCTATTTTTTTTGTTTTTATCTTTGCTACTTTTTTGCTTCTTCTTTTTTTTTATGTGTTTTGGTCTCTTCAAATGAAAATATTCTGCGGCTTATCTAAATTCCCGAAAATTCAGTTGTTGTTTATTGGTGTTGTGTGCGGCATAACAAGCGCTTTTGTTTACAAGCAAACAGTTTGTTCTTCTCGTTGTTGTTGTTGTTTCTTTTTTATTTTACAAATCAACACCTCGGGTATCAATTACCCAGAGCGAGATGCATAACTACATAAGACAGAAAGAGAGAGAGAGAGAGAGAGAGAGAGAGAGGGAGGGAGGGAGAGAGAGAGAGAGAGAGAGAAAAAGAGAGAGAAAAAGAGAGAGGGAGGGAGAGGTATGGACTGAGCAGCGTGAATCATTCTGAAATGTCTGCACTGTTTGCATTTCTCAGATCCGCTGAGACTCGCTTTATCTACACTAATTAAAGTGTGACCGACCAACTGACAGACCGACACAAGTCCGACAGCAGCAGCAGCAGCATTCCTCATCAAATGTAAATCCTCAATGCTATTTATTTATGATCTTTTAGTATTCTACTGATGACAACGGAGCACAGCCTGAGCAAAACTGAGCAAAATGAGCATCAGGAGGAGAGCCGGGGTAACCGCACACGCCGATCCCAATCCTTAGATGTAGCCCTTGATTTGGAAAGGTCTTGTCTGGCATTAGTTGCGGACGGTTAGCATGGCTAAATACTTCAAGACAGCCTGGGGAGGGGGCAAGCAGTTGAGTGCTTGGTTTTCTGGGAATGCAAATGCCCATTACAAAGGCTGATAAAGTAGCAATAATTAAAATTGTGGGAAATCAGCAATCATTAATTATGATATTTGCTAGTATACTAAACCTGAAAATCTTTAAAGGACATTTTAAATTTTGGTATAATCAGTAGTGGATCTTTAGATTTTGTGACAATGAGGCTGAAGACGGAGTTATATAGTCAGTAGGGGCTCTTAAAGGAAACTAGGTCGCAGTGCATGAAACCCCAATAATAATAATAAATCTTTATAAATTTATTATATGTTATATTACATTCAATTTTTTAATTAAACTTAAACTGTTTACTGTTCACAGACTTTTGATAAATTGAACAAATTCTGGGAATTTGGAAATTAAAGACTAAACTAATTCAAATGGGGGATCAAAATACTTAGAAAATAGTTCATAGTTCATATCTTAATTGAAAAAGTCATAGTATTTAATTTAAGATAGCAGACCTCATTCTTCTCATTTGTGTATTTATTTAGTTTAGTTTTACAATTAAAAGGTGTTTCTCGCTGGTTCCAGAGTATAAAAAAAAAAAACACTTCATCTTACATATTTAAAGTAATTATTTAGAGTAAAGATTGTATCTGCTCGTCGCATAAATGCAGTCGCATAATCTTCACTCAATCTTAGGTATTTTCAACCACCCTAAAATATAGTTGCGTTTCTTGTTAGTCGACCAGATGATCTCATTAGCTGTTAAGTTATGTATCATATGTCTAAATAATTGGAACATGACTGAGTTCAAATGGGGCAACGTCATGAGTTATTTTGTCTATGAGCCGCAGCTGAAATGCACCTGCCACGTTCCCATTAAGAGCCTGGCAACTTCATTAGAATTAGCGCCCCGTATTGTGTTGAACAAGTAAATATTTTGTTGAGCAACTGAAGAAACTATATATGTATAAGATACTTATGCCTATCTGTCTGTCTGTCTGTCAGCATTTCAGTCTATTTGACTGTCTGTCTGTAGCCACCCAAGCGCCGCTTTCAGAACGGAAACAGGTGCGGACACCTGAGTTCAAAACCCATCGATACAAGTGACACCACACGCGTTAATTTTCCAGCGTAGCGCGGGAAACTTTTTTAGAGCCTTGAAAAAATTTGATAGTGACTCAAAAAAAAAAAATAAAATAGACACACACAAAATATACACAAACAGAAAATTCTTGCGGCTGACTAATCGCGCATGACTCAATGCGGCAATTAAGGAATGTTGC